TCAAATTGTAAATAAATAAATGAACAACCAAACATTAAAATTTATAATATTGTCACATCTGTGTGTATCTGACATTTTGGCAATGTACAGGGTCTACAGAGGCTGATTTATTGTGATATTAATTTTGTTGAAATTATTTATTAATGGTGTAAACAACTTTATCTATTCTAACAGGTAGAATTCGTTCAAGGTAAGTGTGGATCTTCACTCAACACAGCTCTTATGTGTGCATGAATGTATGTCAAAGCAAGTCCCCTCATATACATCAACTTGAGGTAATGTGTTCATGGGATAATTCACTCAAAAATGAAAATCTGTTTATTTTTTTCTCTGTTCTGTTGAACAAAAAAGATGTTTTGAAGAATGTTGGAAAACGGTTGCCATTGACTTATCAAATACTATGAAAGACAAAGGTTACACATTTTCAGCTTACTTCAAAACATCTGGAACTAGTTGAGGTTAACTTGAAAAGTTTACTATCATCTATCTATCTATCTATCTATCTATCTATCTATCTATCTATCTATCTATCTATCTATCTATCTATCTATCTATCTATCTATCTATCTATCTATCTATCTATCTATCCATCTATCCATCCATCCATCCATCCATCCATCCATCCATCCATCCATCCATCCATCCATCCATCCATCCATCCATCCATCCATCCATCCATTTTTCCCCAATTTCTGTTTAACAGAGAGAAGATTTTTTTCAACACATTTTTAAACATATTTTTAATAACTCATCTCTAATAACTGATTTATTTTATCTTTCCCATGATGACAGTAAATTCTATACAGCCAAAGTGACATTTTAAAGGATTAATTAGGTTAATTGGGTTAACGAGACAAGTTAGAGTATTAACTGTTGCCAGTTAGTCGCTGTAATGGTTTGATTGCAATGAGTAACTGGGAACAGTGTTGCTTGTTTATTACTGTAATAGAGCAGTAGCCGTAACTAACTGAAAACTGCTTAGTTAATTACTGTACATTAGTGTAACAACTAACAGCATTGTACCGCATATACACATTAATAGTATATCATATATAGTTGTAGCGTTCCTAAAATTAATCAGTATTCTCAACTGTTATTAAAATAGAAAGCTTATAATTTCTTCAGACAAATGTATTTTTTTGTTTTGGCAGCAAACACAAATACAACAGAAAATGTACAACAAAATTAAAGAAATCAGCAAATATCAATACATTTTCTATTCACAATAAAACAAAAAGGTCAAATTAATAAACACATGCAGTTTATATATAGCAAAAGTGTCAAACATTTACATATCATCTCACAAATGACTGAGGGCCACAGGTCTGAACAGTTAAGCTGCGGTTACACATGGACTTTTCTCCCCTAGACTTCCATTCAAACGCATATGAATGTGGCAGACTGGTAAAGCAAGCTCATTGGGCAAGTTTCGCCCAATGCTGCATTGTGCATTGAAACCCAGCTGCATTGAAAAAGTGCTGCAATGTAATTTTTTGAAACCCTCAAAAACATTTGAACACATTTTACTTACTCATTGTAAACCCTTATTCATAATTTAAAACATCTGACTCTGCATCTGAATTGGTTGACAGAATGGAGCACACTCAGAAGTGAAGAAATCAAACACCAGAGGCTCCCTTAAAGCGCCTCTGAAAATCTTTCCTAACAACTTTGTGTTTAGAATAAAACAGACATAGGCGGAGGGTGAACAAACTCCAGGGTAAGGCAAACTAAAGGTGCTGCCCTTTAATACATTTAGATTTGCGACTGACAAACAAGAGATTTTAACAAAAGCACAGCCTATCACCAAATGTCTATTATATTCAACTCGCACATTTAATTATTTTATTAAACTAACACACTTATCTACACTACACCGGTCAAAAGTTTGAGGTCAGTTTTATTTTTTTAATTATTGATTTTATTTAATAATTTAGTTTATATTGTTCTGTTCATCAAGGCAACATTTATTAAATATATATAAAAATGTTAAATTGTTTAATACTTATTTATTAAATATTTATGTTACTTATACTGTATGTAGTTTCAAATGAAATCATTACTCCTCCTTGTTTCTTTTATTACTATTACCAATAATAATAATAATAATAGCAATAATAATAATAATAATAATAATAATAATAATAATAGTAACAACAATAATAGTAGTAGTAGTAATAATAATAGTAATAATAATATTAATAATAATACAAGTATTATTAATAGTAACAGTAATACTACTACTACTACTAATAATAATAATAATAATAGTAATAATAGTAATAAAAATAATAATAGTAGTAGTAGTAGTAGTAGTAATAATAATAATAATAATAATAATTATAATAATAGTAATAAAAAAAAATAAAAATTATTATTATTATTAGAGTGATTTCTGAAGGATTGTGACTCTGAAGACTCGTGTAATAAAGCTGAAAATTCATCATTAAAATCACTTGATTTTAATTATTAAGTTAAATGAACTACTTTTGGACAGCTATTTTATAGTACAATAATGTTTCACAATTTTACCATTTGGACTATATTTTTGATGAAATAAATGCAACCTTGGTAAGCAGGAGAAGCTTATTTTAAAACATTTAAAAATCCTAATGATCCCAAAATGTTGACCAGTATATATAATAATAATAATAATAATAATAATAATAATAATAATAATAACAATAAATTATATTATATTATAGATTAATGGTAGCCTTCTGTCTAACAAACAAAAATATGTTTTGGCATGACAGTTGTTACGTCCCTTCCCCTTTTTGTCTAGGGTTGGGGAAGGAAAATAACAAAGAAAATTAAAATTTAGAATTTAAGAAAAAGAAGACCAAATTAATGAATTGTGTATAAATTAAATAAACAAAAATTGAGGGAACACTTCAATCCTGCCTCAGAAATGTGAAACAACCACAAGAGTAAACTTAAATTATTTTATTATTTGGTTCTCAATCAATAAACAATAAATGAAGCATAAATCCTCAGGAAAAGGATTAACCAAAACAACAAACAACACAGATCTAGCTCAGGAAGAGTACTAAATAACCTAATTTCAGGTAAAAGAAAAGAAATGAAACAACAAAGGCTTTCCTCAACTCCCTTACTATGAATAAACACAGTCAAACAAGTACAAAAAATAAAAATGGCACCCTCTCCCTACAGCTTCAATTTTCAAAAACAAAAAGTCAGACAAAGAAACAATACAATTACCTTTTACATACCACACACAATATATATATATATATATATATATATATATATATATATATATATATATATATATATATATATATATATATATATATATATATATATATATATATATATATATATATATATATATATATATTTAAATCACACAACTAAGAAAACAGACAAACTGCCTGTAAAATTCCACAATGCAAAAAAAAAAAAAAAAAAGTTTCTCAACAGACAGAAGTTAAATTGTACTCGCCTATTAAACTTCTTTCTATGATCAACAAGATCAATACTAGCAACATATGACCACAACAACCACAAGTCTGGAGCAGGGGAGAAGTGAACCTCTTCGTGGGTTGAGACACACTGCTCTTTTGTAGAAGTGCATTAGTGCAGCACGCTCCAATGATGAGCACCACCTGGGCCCGATCAGCTCTACCTAGTGAGCAGGCAGAGAGACACTGTGGAAGTAAGAGAGAAAAACACAACATCACCACTCTCAATGGGCAGTAAAGACACAAATAAACAATAATAATAAATAATGATAAATACATCCAAGGGATGTAACACAGTCGATATAAATAATAGCCACTGCCCTACTTTGTGCAGCAAAATCCTCCTTTTAGACCAGGCCAAAAAATGTAAAATGAGTGAACCTAAATAGGGTGGACCGCAGTGCCTACTCAAACTAAGTGCATAGCTAGTGTCTTATATTATGATCTCTGGTAATTTAGTTATTTATTTACCGAGTGACACTATTGAGTATTCATTCCTTTTGCAAAAATAAATAAAAACTACATTTTATTTACTGCTGAAAACAAGTTTAACCAGAGTAATATATTATTATACCTCTCTCGTAATAATCATTTGTCATTATGTAACTTGACAAGCAGATCAGAATAGTTCGCTGGCCAGCACTTTTTGTTTTGGTTTCGTTTTCAGAGCAGCTGCGCATTCCAGTAATAAACAGCGCTCATCAGTGCTGCGGAGTTGGAGAGTTCCGTTTTTGTGCGGAGGGGGACTGTAAATTTGACTGACAAACTTGCAATAACTAAAGTGTTTTGTTAATCATCAACAATAAATTACATTCATTTTCTGCCTTACACCTGTTACATGTTTTTAATGCTGTTTTTTTTTCTTTGCTGCCATCTACGTGGTCTCTGGCCAGGGGGAGGCTAAGACTAAATGAGCATAAAAAGTTAGGAAAGCAGCTTTCCTTATAACGTTAGATGTGTGCATTTTGTAAAGTGACACACGTTTTTAATATAATCAAACAAAATGTAAATAAATAAGATATTTTTTCGTTGCTCTTTAATCAGAATGTGTAAGTTATACAGTGAAGAAACAACTGAGATTGATAGCTTGATGCTATTTTATTATAACAGCTATTCATTTTAATAAGCTGAACTGTTTGGTAATGTATTTGCTGCTAATGTATAGCCTATTTATTTTTTTTCTATTGTAAATAATAATATTAAACATATACTGACCATTTAACTGATTATTTTCAATGAAACAGCTCTAAAAGAATATAGTTAGTAATTTGGGGATTTTTTTTTAAGGAGGGTCGAGGGAATCCCTTATTATGGTGGGCATATCCCTTGTTTTCACATCCCAATGTTGACAGGTTTGACAGTAGTGTATCGTTCTTGTGTCTATGAGCCTTCACCAAAACCTTGGAAATCATTGTTCATAAATTATTTTGTTATATGAAAAATCATTATATGTCTACTACCCACAGTTATACAACGTCGACGTTTTAACACAAAATAGGGAGTTGACAGACGGTCCCTTGCGCGTCATGCGCTCTTATGGCTCGTCTCTCAAGCTCTCATATTACTCATGAAAGTTTTCGGTTTAATAATCTTTTATGACTATGCTATCTTTATCTAAATTGAATGCACGATGGACATTATTACCTGCATATTTATGTCACTATGTCTACTGGTCGCTGATGGTACGTATATTGTCACTTTTATTTGATATGCGAAAATAGTCTGTGATGTCATGATCATGAGAAAACAACTTTTGACATGTCGAGATCACGGGAAAGAAAGAAAGAAAATAATAATCATAATGTATGACCCCTAAGGCTGTCCATATTTGACGCATGGTTTATTTGTGTTGTTAACGCTTTACGCCTGTTTCACACCGCAAGCGTCAGCGGCGCGTGAGCAGAGCGTGAGCAGCGCGTATGTCGAGCAGTAGCAGGACGCAGGCGTTTGCCTTTCACACCAGCTGCGTCTGCAGCGCGCAGTTCTTCGGCAGCTGCTGCTGAGATCAACCTATCTCTGTCTATTCTATCTAGTTACCCATGTCTCTCTATATACAAATACACTTTTTAAACTTTTCATCTGCACCAAGGCCCCACCTATGCTGTTTCGTTAACCTGCAAATATTTATTTTACAAATTTTATAGATCAAATAGTACTGTATGCTTCTAAAGCTAACTTATATGAGAAGTGTCTACAGTCAGAAGACAATCGCCAGTGCTATCATGTCATTTGTTTTTTGATTATCAGGTTGCTGTAGACCTAGTTATAATCATATTTATACAATATAGTTATAATGATATTTATACATGATCAAACTAGTGTTAATTTCTCCGCTTCAGTGATGTCCAGCGGCAGAATAACAGCTCGTTAATTCATGCTCGTGCAGATGATAAGACGGACAAAAGTAACCAATGCATGCCATTCTTTTACTTATTTTCGTGTTGTCAGATTCAGAGTGCAATTTGTGCAAACAGCTCCCGGTAGGAATAACTCGAGTGAACATAAAACAAAGCCGATTAAAACTTTCTTCCTCTGCTCCGCTGCACAGAACACAGCGAGCTCACATCATCCAGCATGCGTGTCGCACTACACTACCCACAATACACTTCGCTATGGACTACAATTCCCGTAAATATTCTATTTCCCCTCTCCTACAACACTAGTGTGCAACTGATACTAAAATTGTTTTACATTTGGTTTTGTAGTTCGGACCTAAATAAATGTTTGTTGCCGTTTTAAATCGTTTTAAGTGAATTTGAATGACTATATATAAACCATTTGACATTATTAACGCATTTATTGGGTAAAATTGCTACTTTTTACTGTCATTCAATGTGTTTTGGTCGTTGTCAATGCACTGTCACTTTAATTGAGCGTGAGCAGCGCGTCAAAAATAGACCCAGCGCCGAAACTATCGCTGCACTGCTGCTTCGGCGACGCTCACGCCTCGCTCTGACGCGCTGCTGCTGCGTGCGGTATGAAAGCTCTAATCTGTTAACATGGACGCCGAAAACACACGCGCTGCTCACGCTCTGCTCACGCGCCGCTGACGCTTGCGGTGTGAAACAGGCGATAGTTTCGGCGCTGGGTCTATTTTTGACGCGCTGCTCACGCTCAATTAAAGTGACAGTGCATTGACAACGACCAAAACACATTGAATGACAGTAAAAAGTAGCAATTTTACCCAATAAATGCGTTAATAATGTCAAATGGTTTATATATAGTCATTCAAATTCACTTAAAACGATTTAAAACGGCAACAAACATTTATTTAGGTCCGAACTACAAAACCAAATGTAAAACAATTTTAGTATCAGTTGCACACTAGTGTTGTAGGAGAGGGGAAATAGAATATTTACGGGAATTGTAGTCCATAGCGAAGTGTATTGTGGGTAGTGTAGTGCGACACGCATGCTGGATGATGTGAGCTCGCTGTGTTCTGTGCAGCGGAGCAGAGGAAGAAAGTTTTAATCGGCTTTGTTTTATGTTCACTCGAGTTATTCCTACCGGGAGCTGTTTGCACAAATTGCACTCTGAATCTGACAACACGAAAATAAGTAAAAGAATGGCATGCATTGGTTACTTTTGTCCGTCTTATCATCTGCACGAGCATGAATTAACGAGCTGTTATTCTGCCGCTGGACATCACTGAAGCGGAGAAATTAACACTAGTTTGATCATGTATAAATATCATTATAACTATATTGTATAAATATGATTATAACTAGGTCTACAGCAACCTGATAATCAAAAAACAAATGACATGATAGCACTGGCGATTGTCTTCTGACTGTAGACACTTCTCATATAAGTTAGCTTTAGAAGCATACAGTACTATTTGATCTATAAAATTTGTAAAATAAATATTTGCAGGTTAACGAAACAGCATAGGTGGGGCCTTGGTGCAGATGAAAAGTTTAAAAAGTGTATTTGTATATAGAGAGACATGGGTAACTAGATAGAATAGACAGAGATAGGTTGATCTCAGCAGCAGCTGCCGAAGAACTGCGCGCTGCAGACGCAGCTGGTGTGAAAGGCAAACGCCTGCGTCCTGCTACTGCTCGACATACGCGCTGCTCACGCTCTGCTCACGCGCCGCTGACGCTTGCGGTGTGAAACAGGCGTATCGCTGCACTGCTGCTTCGGCGACGCTCACGCCTCGCTCTGACGCGCTGCTGCTGCGTGCGGTATGAAAGCTCTAATCTGTTAACATGGACGCCGAAAACACACGCGCTGCTCACGCTCTGCTCACGCGCCGCTGACGCTTGCGGTGTGAAACAGGCGTTAGATTACAACCCGCAAAGTGTCGCGCGGGTGCCGTGAATAACGGTGTGCTTGTCTGGAAGTATAGGCTAGTAAGTATAAAGAATGTAAAGGTATAAGGGAACACACTGTAATGCTTGGGTGATAATAAGCAGATAAGCAACACATGTAGGCTACCCTAAGTAATAAAGTATATTGATACGGTGTACGTTTCTGTGAGCATACAGAAAAGTCCCTTACAAAAAGCAACCGTGGTTTTTATTATACCATTGTTAAACTATATATATATATATATATATATATATATATATATATATATATATATATAATAAACCACAGTAACCACAAAATAAACTACATTTTTTTACTATGGTATTTGTGATAAACAACCACCAACTTAACTATAGTTTAAATGAAAAAAAATTACAATAGCATTTTAAATAAAATTCATAGTAACTGTAAAATCAGCTAAGGTTTTAAAATAGCTTTTGAGGTAAAACCCTAGTAATTAGCCTACACAGAGAAGCTTAGTTTTACTTCAGCTTTAGGAGTAAAAGCAAAGTAGCTAAAAACAGAGCAGAGTTTTAACCATTATAACCATGGTTCCATTGCAGAATTGGAGCTGGCTCCTCTAAATAAACACTTTGTGATCTATAAACATAAACATTAATAGGATGACAGGATACAGTTCGTTGTGTTTTTATTAATTTTTAAATCAAAGTTTGTGAGACAAAAGTTAAAAATAGAGAAAAAGTCATAGAGCTAAAGCAATACAACAACTGATTCATTTCAGTCATCTATTTTTTTAATGATGCATTTCTGATGTCTATACATTAATGTAATTATTTATTTAACATATACAGTATGCATATTTATGTGTAACATTGCAGTGTAATCTATGTTGAGTTATTATTATTATTATTATTATTATTATTATTATTATTATTATTATTATTATTACTATTACTATTTGCTTTTTTGCCTTTGTTACTGCAATTTATAAAGCATAAATAATCCTCACAAATTAAGTTAATAATGCATCAACATACAATAACTATTACTAAATGCCTGGGCTGCGCAATTAAAATACGGGTAATATTTTTTTTGACTACAGATGTTTTCATTTGTTTGTCATTTTACTGTACATTTTTATTAAAGGCTCAAATAACCCCAAACATTCTTGGACTTTGATCGTTTCCCTATAGCCAAACAATTATAAAAAGTGTTCAACAGGTTTGCTCATTTGTTCAGTTGATGTGTGTTAACAGACCCTGTAGTTATTTTAACATTATTTTATTTGAAATAATTTCTATTTTATTTTATTCTTAACAACCTCAGTGAAATGACTTAACCTTTTGTATCTATTAGCCAGGGTCACTGTGAACACATTAATGGAAAGAATGAGCAAACCTGTGTGTGTGTGTGTCTGTGTGTGTGTGTATGTATATATATGTACATACATACATACATACACACACACACACACACACATATATATATATATATATATATATATATATATATATATATATATATATATATATATATATATATATATATATATATATATATACATACATACACACACATATACAGTTGAAGTCAGAATTATTAGCCCCCCCTTTGATTTTTTTTTCTTTTTTTAATAGTTCCCATATTATGTTTAACTGAGCAAAAACATTTCCACAGTATGTCAAAAATGTTTTTTTTCTTGTGGAGAAAGTCTTATTTGTTTTATTTTGGCTAGAATAAAAGCAGTTTTTAATTTTTTTTAAACTCCATTTTAAGGTCAGTATTATTAGCTCCTATAAGCTATACATTTCTTTCTATTGTCTACAGAACAAACCATCATTATAAAATAACTTGCCTAATTACACTAACCTGCCTAGTTCACCTAATCACCAAATTTAAGCCTTTAAATGTCACTTTAAGCTGTATAAAAGTGTGTTGAAAAATATCTAGTCAAATATTATTTACTGTCATCATGACAAAGATAATATAAATTAGTTATTAGAAATTAGTTATTAAAAACTTTAATGTTTAGAAATGTGTTGAGAAAATCTGCTATGTATAAGGACACATTAAATAATATTTGTTGTGTTGTCTGCATGCAATATGTATGTATTTAATGTGTTCCTCATGATTTTTAATTTAATTTTTTTCAGAAAAAGTTGTAACAGTAAAGCATGTACCAGTTTGTAATGTTACCACTCCTTTTCACAACACTTAAAAGATGTTTAGAGACTGAAGACACTGAGTGATCAGTGAAATAAATCAACATTCTGAACATATACTAATTATATGACCAGTACCTGTATATTGCTCTCATTAAGATGAACAACTTTCTAATTTACTGTCATTAGCTCTGATGCCACAAGTGCTTTGGCCCTTTAATGTTATTTGCAGTTTTCAGTTTTATTTTAAATTTTTAATGATTTTATAGGCTTCACTGTTCGTGGTCCCTCTGCTCCTCTGTCTGCTCCTCTGGGATCTTCAGTGGTTTTGCCCTGTTATGTTGATGAAGCTTTACCAGTGGAGGATCTGGAGGTGGAATGGAGAAGAGCAGACTCAGAGACTCTGGTTCATCTGTATCAAGATGGTGAGAGTCGAGCAGAGGTCCAGCAGCAGGATTATCATGATAGAGCTCATTTCTTTACTGAGGAGATTCAACATGGAAACTTCTCCCTCCGTCTGGACAATCTAACAGCTCAAGATGAAGGAGAATACAGGTGTAGAGTTCACAGTCAGCAGGATTCTGGAGAAACTGTGGCTCAGATAAAAGTTAGCAATGGTGAGTGAAATCAACTTAAATTCTGGTGAACATTTTAAATCAAATAGCATTTGATGTAATGAATGAAACTATTTGTTTTCTTTCAGAGCGTTTGCTGGTATCAGGATCAAATCGTCCCGCTTCAGCATATGTTGGTGAGGACGTGACTCTGAACTGCTCTGTAGACTCTCACATCACTCCTGAACACATTGAAGAGGTTTCATGGTTGAAAACAGATGAAGATGGAGATTTTCTGGTTCTGCTTTACCAAAACAAAGAGACTTTACCAGATTCATCAAATGAACAGTTCAGAGGCAGAGTTGAGTTCTTCACTGCTGAAATCCCCAAAGGAAACTTCTCTCTCAGACTGAAGAGTGTCAGAACTGAGGATAAAGGAGTTTACATGTGTCAAGTGTTTGCTGGAGATTTATCAGCCAATGCTACTGTAGAGCTGGAGAGACTGGGTAAGGAACAAATATGTTTTAAATGCTCTAAATGTATATTAAAACTACCTAAACATTATTGACCCGTATCTCCCAACAGCTTTTATCATTTTATGGTGTTAACAATGCTTTTTGTTGCTATTCATGGTCACGGTCCTTGATTCTGATTGATTGAGCTAGATTCAAAGTTGTTGTATGTAAATTACTCTACAGACAGACTCCGCTGACTGTGTTGCTGACAATTATTCCAGCTATTTTCACTGAGCCAAAAAACAGATTTATTTGATGAAGTTCACCATGTAGATATACGAGCAGCATGATCATTTAGGCATATCAATCATCACATGGGTATCTAAGCAGCAGCCATTGCCCTGTCAGCTGAAATGTTTTCTCAGTGTTTGCCTTTAGAATTTCACTCATGGGTTTAACCCATCTGTTAAGGGTCAAATAGGACCCATGCGTTACTTTAACAGCAGAAAAAAACTGTTGACTGTGTTGATGTTTGGTGAGTTTCTCTAAAATTACCCCAACAATGGAAAAAAATCTATAATCTTTCATTTTTATGATAAGGCTGTACACATTTAGGGTACAATGGTTGTCCTTTGTGTCAAATTTTGATTTACCAGTTATAACACTATTTTTACACCACAAAAACTACTGCCGCACAGACAAAAACACATACACCTCCCAGACACACACGCTATAATAATTTGCTGCTTTAACTTTTATGAATAATGTCTTGCTAAAAACGTTTTACTCATATGCAGGTGCCTTTAGCTTGAGCAAAATACACCCTTTACTTAGTCAAAAATGAGAAACACTGATGAAATACTGCACACTGATGAGGGAAATCATCAGTGTGCAAAACTGATGCTTTTTTCATGCAAAACAGATTTAAAGATTGAATATAAGTTTAGCTGCTTTATTTTAGAGTTTTAGTGAAGGTGGGTCATTTTTGACTCAAAGGGCAAACCGTGTAGACAGGTTTCCAAGACAACAGAAGGGTTAAATTCATAGCTCAAGTCGAGCCTCCTTCAATGAGAGGAAGGCTAGTTTCTTTACTATTATCTATCGTGACTCAATGAGCAGGCGAACTCTGTTGCTATTTATATGGAATATCTATATTATAAATGCAATTAGCCTTGTGAAGCTGCTGCATAATGCTAATGCTATGCTCCTTAGTTGTTATAAATCCACAGTAAACCACAACTTCCTGGGGCTTATTAATTTTAGAAACTGTTAATTTGTTTTGTTAATTTGATTAAGCTTTGTCTTCGTATAGACTGGCAGCAGTGTGAGGTATTTTTTTTATAATATATATATATTATTATCAGATTTTAAATCATTTGTGAATAAGAATTTCTGAATGTTTTGGTCTAACCCAAATTATTAAAAAATAAGAACTAAACAGAATGAAAGCAGTGTGCTTATAGGAGATCGTAGTTTACATACATAATATTTTTCTTGAAGCTGTCAGTCTGTTTGTTTAATGCTTGTGTGTCGAGGCTCCATGAAGATTGTCAATATAGTTAATGAATCATCTGTTCTATTTTAGCAAACTGATCATTTTTATTTGTTAATTTACAGAGGAATTAAGCAAACATGAAAAAGTGTTTTTAAACCACATCATAGGTAAAACTGTTGAGCTTCAATATTACTTTTCATCAGTTTAATGTGACTTTATTGTGTCTATATCTCAATTTATCCCATTCTGAAGCAAGATACATTATTAGTTGGATTTGAATCAACTGTTGTTAAATGTAGTTTGCTTATTGCTCACGTTGAGCTGAATATGAAGAACACATTTAAAGACAGTTTATATAGATGAATATTAAAATGCATGCGCATTTACTGACTATGGATTTTTCAGACTGTTTGGGGTTTTGTGCAAAACACCTGCTATTGTAAAAAGTAAATATGCTATGTCTGTTCTGTCCAGTGTTATAACTGATGCTGCCTCCTCCAGGTTTCTCTTCTTTGCACATCGCTGTGCTGTTTTTCAGTGTTGCTGCTGGATCTGGAGCTGTTCTTCTGCTCTGCTCTCTGATCTACTGCAGATATAAAAACACAGGTGTGTTATTAAGTGAATAAATCTGTATTATGTGTCAGTGTAAGTATTTTATTCATGTAATTGTGATTATTGTGAATTTCCTCTTTAGTCTCCAGCAGCACAATCTGGATACTTCAGCTTTCTCTGGTCCTTTTCCCAAACATCTGTATGTTCTTAGCCTTCATCCTTTGGGGCTTTACTGAAGGTGAGTGCAGGAGTTTAGTGCTCTTTGCTATGTTCGAGTTAAAAGAAATATATTAATAATGTTTTCTTTGACTGAATCTTGTCAGTGTCTTGTGCTCTTGTGTTCTTTAATGGTTAAGTAGTGGCTTATTGGAGAAATAGCTTCACATAATGCAGTTATTTTTAGTGTCTGCAATGAAATATTGTGTTGCAGGATCTTTACATGAGACCATCTCCTGCTCTGCTCTTTATATTCTGAGGCCTGTCATGCTGATCTGGGCTTTGTCCTGTTTGAAGTATCTTCAAGGTATGTTGTTATTTTAAGTTTAATTTTCCACAGAGAGAACAACATATGCACACTGATGGCAGCATTAAAGAGGACCTATTATGCTCCTGTTTACAAGATGTCAAATAAGTCTCTGATGTCCCCAGAGAGTGTTTGGGAAGCAGGGCTTGAAATTAACCTTTTTGCTTGGTAGCAGCGGTGCTCCTAACTTCAAAAATTTAGGCGCATCAGCCAAAATTTAGTCGCACCCACCAATTATTGCACCGTTTTATACTAACAGATTTATTGCACTTGAAATCAACACTAATCAAACTAACAAGCAATAAATAAATATATATATGCAAGCATGAGGAAAATATGTCTCAGCGAAATCCCGTTACCACAACAAAATAGATTTTTATAACATAACTGAGTGACCAAAAGATACACAGACCTCTCACCGGCCCTGCACGCACGGCTTGACATGAATGAATCTGTTAACAATATAACTGTGCTGTTCTCACGGATGGTATCTGATATTGCACTGATGTTTTTTTACATATACTGTACCTTATTATATGCATACATCATGTTAATAGCAACACCGGTCTTTTCATGAGTAGCGATATTAGGTAAGTAGTTTACTCAGTGCAAGCTCGTTTGCGATGGTGTACGTGGTGTTAAATTTGACATATAGCTGTCACTTGCACGGCGGACAGCATCTGGCGATTATATGAAGGATTAAACAGAAGCTCTCGTGCTGGATGTGGTAAACAGTTACCTGAAAATTCCATCCCACAGACTTTTCATAGCGGACTTGAAGCCAATGGAAGTCTTTTATCCACTCTTCGAAAAGTGTAGATGGTGGATTAACATTCAGCACACGATTCCTAGTAAGATGTGTCATTATTTGTAACTTTAGATGCCATGGTTTCTAAAACAAAATCTGTCAGTGTTATCTACATTCTCATCCCCAGCGCTATACAGTTTTTCGCGGTAGTAGCTCTCTCTGTCATCCCAAACCAGAAGGCATTGACTGAGTGATTGACAGCTGATATTTCAGTGCTAGAGCAGTGGGCCAATAAGAAGAGCGTGAAGGCGGGGCAAGCATTACGGACTTGGCTTTGTTTACTTCAGCAAGTTGACATTAAAACTGTTTTAAATCATTCCTAAACGCTGCGTTTCGCGTTTCAAATGCAGAGATGCATTCTGTGTGAATGTCTCCTGAATGTGCGCATGTGGTGAACATTTTGCAGTAAAAACTGGTCACACACAACAATTTTGTGCAGTCGCACAAATGCTACTAAATATATTTTGAGGTCACATAGATAAAATTTTGGGCGCCAAAATGGCCGCAATTTCAAGCCCTGGGAAGTTTCAGCTCAAAATACTACACAAATAATGTTTTATAACTCTTTGAAACTGCCCCTTTTAGGCTTTCATCCTAATTGTGTAATTTTGGTGACTGTCGCTTTAAATTCAAATTTCAAATTTCTCTTTTTCAAAAGAGGGCGGAGCTACAAATGCTTGTGTGTCAGGATATGGATGGCAGATTCAAAAACAAGACTAACACCGTATGCTAATTAAGGAGAGATTGTCACCAGTGGGCGGGGCTTTGATGACACGTACAAATGGAGAATGTCAATCAAAGTGTTTCTCCAGACTGTTTTTATCAAGTGTGATTATAAAAAGATTACAACTAATATTTTTTTTACCATGAGAAGCTGGCTATAATCACACACTGCTCCTACACAAGTGTGTTTAAACCCCTTATAAAAGTGAATTTTGCATAATAGGTCTCTTTAATTCTTAGCATTGTATCGTTACTGAATGTTTCTATTGCATTTAAATATGTTAAGGCATCAAATATTGAAAGTGCAGAGTACAGCAATATAACAGGTACACTGTACTCCAAAAACATGAAAACGAAATGAGTTTTGAAAACAATTAATTATCTTATTTTTAACTTTCTTTTTAACAAAGAACAGCTAATCATTATATTAAAGTAATTTTTGAAGCAATCATATGACACTGAAGACTGGAGTAATGATGATGAAAAGTCAGCTTTGAGTCACATGAATAAACTAAATTTGAAACTACATTCAATAAGAAAACTGATTACACAATATGCAATTATAATTACAATATTAAAAACTGTTTTAATATTGTAATTTCTCAATTTAAAAGTTTTTACTGTATTTACTTTAATATATGCAGCCTTTGTGAGCAAAATTGGCTTCTTTTAAAACATTAATAAGTCCTACTGTTTCCAAACGTTTGGAGGGCAGTGAGTGTAGTAGTAATGCCATGAATCTGTACACTAACGTTATAGTACTTTATACAAGTACATTGCTTTTTAAACAAAAAACCAATTTATCTACTATAAAGTATTTTTGGATTTATATTTGATGTGTTGATGATCTGAATGTTGATGATCATCTTTGTTTGAATATTTAATTTTTGGAAAACAAATACATGCTGATCTGTGTCGAGAGAAAACTGTGTAATTTAGTCAGTCAAGACAGGATAACATGACACTGTAATAAGACAGTGTGTAAGAGCTGATGTGTTTCACACTTTCTGTCTGCAGAGAGCCTTAAACCATGGACCAGCTTTTTCACACCAACAAGGGAATTTGCAGTTTTCACACTAGTTGTTTATTCAGGTAAATCCACATTTCACACAACTGAGACCAGGTTCATCTTTCTGACACAGGAGCTTTATGAAATATGACAAAATAATGACAAAAATAAATGAATAATAAAAGACAGAGAATGGTTGCAGCTGTCTGGTACTCATTTATTATCCCATCATTATACTGTCAGCTGTTCAGATATTTTTCAAAATTAAAATAACAGGATTAGAATATTTTATAGATTATTTATATTTTATTGCATGTTTACTGTTTGTAATATGTTGGTGTACATGTGATGGTCTCCATGTTTTATAATATTTCGATGTTTGCATTTTACACTTGCTTGAGGGAACATTATTTTAATAACCCACTTCTTTCAGAGTGAACTTGCTTAAAGAGCCCATATTATACATGAAATAGGGTCATATCTTGGTTGTAAGGGTCTCCAACAACAGTTTAATATGCATGCAAGGTCAAAAAACACTTTAATGGTCTTATAATCTGCATTTATTTTTACCTAATTATCCCAGCGACTCCTGTATGAATCGTCCAGTGATTCATTTGTTCCCAAACCCCTCCTTAGCGCGAAGCTAATCTGCGCTGATTAGACCGATGACAGTCTGTTGCGATTGGTCGACTGCCTTCAGTCAGAGAGTGAAATGCCAAACAGCTAATCAGCAATATAAAAGTAATCACAGTTCATACACGCTCGATAGCGTAGGCGTGGATTTTAGCTGCCAGTGGGTCAATGTAAATACAGACTATGGACTTGAAAATTCAGACGACTGACTATTTTATTGAGCAAAAACTCAAAAACAGTTGAGGAGATCTCCTAGCTTCTCACTCTGCTCTTTTCACAGACACACACATATTGCACACACACACACACGCACTTAACCCTGCTCCGGACGACAACGCGCGCGCACACACACACACGCACACACCACCGGACGACAGCGCGCGCACACGCACACACAGACACACACACTACTCCTCGTCCACGGAGCTCCGTTAACAAAGCTGCACGCGTCACATTTTTAACGTGACTTTGCTCGCGATATGAGAATATAGCCAGTTAACCTGGTACAGTACACGCGGTTACAAGTAACAAATCACAACTAAACACATTTGCAAGCTAGAGTCAACGAGGCAACTTTAATCGCACGTACTTACACTTGAGAAATGGAGGAAGAAAAATCCATCCTGACGTCCATCAGTAAGTTACTCTTTACTGATCCTTCCTTTAACAAACGCTGATGAAGTATTCTTTGTAGCATGTAGTTTCCAGAAGTTTCCAGAAGTTTCCAACTGCTTGGCTATAATGCTGAGGTTTCATCTTTGGGTAGAGACTCAATATATCCATCTGCAGTGTGACTTCAATCGACCGGCATGTTTGTGTGTGTGTGTGTTTGTGGGTGTGTGTGTGTGTGTGTGTGTGTGTGTGTGGGTTTCTGCGTCAGAGGGCGGGGCCTCAGGTTTGAAATCTCCCGGGTTTGCGCGTGCACGTGAATAACTTGGTTTCGTTCGTACGTCATGGCGAAACACCTAATGACTCGGCATCAAGGCGACTCGTTTGAAGTACTATGAGTCGACTCTTTTATAGATGAATCAACCGTTTTAAACACTGTATTCTTACAGATTTAAGCCTTAGCTGGATACTTCACTTCACTTAGAGCTGTGTTACACACTACATGGAGAGGAATTTTCAAAAACCCATAATATGGGCTCTTTAAGGACATTATTGATCTTGTGTGTCTTTTAATTTCTCTATTTCTGTAGTTCTTTTCTCATATGGCTGGAGAAAGAGAGCACATGAAACAGACAGCACACTTCGTGTAGTTTCTGGATTCTGCTTTGGAGTTGTTGTGCTGATGTGCCTCATGTTGAGTACAGGTAAGAGTTTTTTAATGATTTGATTTCTTATACATGGTTCATACTGTGTAAAAAGCTAAGTATATAAGCAAATATGTATTATCTTCATAACTTTACTAACTGGTTTCATTAATTTACTTGCATTTTATAACACAATTACCAAACACAATGGCTTAATCATGGCAGTTCCCCTTCGGTTGGAGAACTTCAGTGCCATAGAGTGGATTGATTGAATCCACGAAATGGGAGGATTCGGATCAGAAGCCGCTTGTCTGGAGAGTATTGAACGGGCCAATGAATTAAATTAATTGGCAGCGTAAGCTTGCGCAGGTGTGCGGCATCTGCAATTATCTCAGCATATAAGCACACCTGAAGCCAGCAGACGCCATCCTTTTCGCTTCAGATCCTTTCTGAGTGAGTCGATGAGGGTTCCTCTTGCTGATCAGCACTTCAGAGCGAACGAGTGTGTCTCCCGGTCCAGAGTGGGTCTTCGCGGTGGCAGACGGTCGAGCTGGGTTACTCCCTTGCCTGCGGTTCTTTGGGTCCGGTCCTCCAGAGCGATGCGTATTGTTGCAAACTTTCCTAAAAGAGCAACACAGTCGTGCAGCACGTCCTTTTCAGGATGGCGCTCCGACTGTGCGTTTCTGGATGCGGGGGTTTCCTGGCTCCGGATGATGGACACGATCACTGCATTGCATGTTTGGGGGTCCAGCATGTTAATGCGGTGCTCGTGGGCGGTTCATGTCGTCATTGCGATGCCATGACCGTTGCAAGAGAGCGAGCCACCCCAGTTGCCTCCTGTTCTAAAAAAGCAGCGGGCGCTCGGGCAGATCTGAGGGTTTCAGCGGGAGATAATCCGCCGCCCACGGGCTCGCGGACCTCTCGCTCCTCACGGCGCTCCATCCAAGCTTCGGGTAGTGGGAGTGATCCGTCTAACCAGATGGTAGCTCTCACACTCGCTGACACCGGAGATCAGATGTCCTCCGCGGCATCGGAGGGTGGGCTTTCACTGTCCGACGAAGATCCGGACCCGCTCGCCCCCTCCGGGCAGGTGAGCGCTGTCAAATCGGATCCTGAAGCGGACATGTTAGCCGTGCTTTCCCGGGCTGCTTCGGCCGTGGGGTTGGAGATGGTTTATCCCCCGGCTCCGCGGCCGGACCGACTAGATGGGTGCTACGTAGAGGACCAGAAGGCGAAGCCTTCGAAGCCTCTCGTCCCCTTCTTCCCGGAAGTGCACAGTAGGCTCACGCAGTCTTGGAGGGCACCATTCTCTGCCCGTGCTGCGTGTGCCTCCGCCCTCACCGCCCTTGACGGCGGAGCTGCCAGGGGGTATGAGGCGATCCCGTCAGTGGAGCGCGCTATCGCGGTCAATCTTTGTCCGCGCGGCGCCTCTACGTGGCGGGGTTTACCCCGCCTCCCGTCCAAAGCCTGTAGGTTGTCTGCCTCCCTCGGAGCCAGAGCTTATAAGGCTGCGGGCCAGGCTGCTTCTGCTTTGCACGCGATGGCCACCTACCAGCGCTACCAAGCGCAGGCGCTGGCCGAGCTGCACGAGGGCGGGTCCAACCCAAGCTTATTACATGAGCTGCGCACCGCGACCGACTATGCTCTTCGGACTACTAAGTCCGCCGCGTGTGCGCTGGGGAGGACGATGTCCACACTTGTGGTTCAGGAACGCCACCTCTGGCTAAACCTGGCCGATATGCGCGACGTTGACAAAGTTCGCTTTCTTGACTCGCCCATATCCCAGGCTGGCCTGTTCGGCGACACCGTCGGTGAATTCACCCAGGAATTCAAGGCGGTGAAAGAGCAGTCGGATGCGATGGGCAATGTCATCTATCGGCGTGGCCGTAAGCCCGCTCCGCCCGCCGAGCCATCCACCTCCGCTGTTCCTCGCCGAGGGCGCTTGCCAACGAGTGCTGCCCCGCCCCCGCCTGCGCTTCCGGCCAAGCGGGCGCGGCGTACACCTCGAGAGCAGGCAGCCCCTCCTGCGCAGGGCGCCGTTAAGTCCGGTAAATGGACCGCGAAGCGTCCCTGAGACAGGCCATCCGGAGAAAAGGAAACTTGCTCTTTCCCCGCTGGAGGGCGGGGCCCCGATAACAACGGTACTTTTCAGTGCCACCAAAACATCAGTAAAAGAGCACTTTTTCCCTTCCCCGGTTGTGACTGCACGAGTTCTGCCAGTCCGGGACGCGCTGCCTTCCGGCTCGCAGACTCTACGTGCTTCGCCAGTGGCTCACGAGCGCTGGGGGGACGGTCTCCCTTCCCTCAGCCCTCCAGCCCCCTCTCCGGAGTCAGGGTGCGGAGCCAGAGCGAATCGCTCTCCTCCAGCTCTTCCGCGGGACCCTCGTGCTTCCCGGATCAGCACACCCACCGCTGGTACATCAGCGATTGTAGCGATGACTCCATTAGCGAGGGCTCTGCCTGCCTGGTTAGCGCGGGCCAGCCCCTCGCGGTGGCTCATACGCACAATCAGACTCGGTTACGCGATTCAGTTCGCGAAACGGCCCCCCAAGTTTACGGGCGTGTATTTCTCCAGGGTCAACCCCCTGTCCGCCCCTGTCTTGCGAGAGGAGATTGCTGCCCTCCTGGCGAAGGGTGCAATCGAGCCGGTTCCTCCAGCCGAGATGGAGAGTGGGTTTTACAGCCCATACTTCATCGTACCCAAAAAGAGCGGTGGGTCACGGCCAATCCTAGATCTGCGCGTTTTGAACCGCTGTCTGCACAGGCTGCCGTTCAGAATGCTCACGCAGAGGCGCATTCTCCAATGCGTTCGTCCTCAGGATTGGTTTGCAGCCATAGACCTGAAGGACGCGTATTTCCATGTCTCCATTCTTCAACGCCACCGCCAATTTCTGTGGTTTGCGTTCGAGGGTCGAGCGTGGCAGTACAAGGTCCTTCCCTTCGGGCTCTCTCTGTCTCCGCGGGTCTTCACCAAACTCGCGGAGGGTGCCCTAGCGCCCCTTCGGCTCGCGGGCATTCGCATACTCAATTATCTCGACAACTGGCTGATTTTAGCCCACTCGCGGGAGCAATTGATTATGCACAGGGACAAGGTGCTGCGGCATCTCCGCCTACTGGGGCTTCAGGTCAACCGAGAAAAGAGCAAACTCGCCCCCGTGCAGAGGATTTCTTTTCTCGGGATGGAGCTGGACTCGATCACCATGGTAGCGCACCTCTCCGAGGAACGCGCTCGCCTGTTGCTGAACTGTCTGAGGGAGCTCGACAGCAAACTAGTGGTCCCACTGAAGTTCTTTCAGAGGCTCCTGGGGCATATGGCATCCGCAGCCGCCGTCACGCCGCTCGGGTTGCTCCATATGAGACCACTTCAGCACTGGCTTCACAATCGGGTCCCCAGACGCGCATGGCACGCGGGCACACACCGGGTCTCGGTTACTGCGCTGTGTCGCCGCGCCCTCAGCCCTTGGAACGACCCCTCGTTCCTACAGGCCGGTGTGCCTCTAGGACAGGCGTCCAGCCATGTTGTTGTTTCAACAGACGCTTCCAACACGGGTTGGGGGGCCGTGTGTCGCGGGCATGCGGCTGCGGGCCTGTGGAAGGGTGCCCAGCTGCATTGGCATATCAATCGCCTAGAGCTGTTGGCAGTTTTCCTCGCTCTCCACCGCTTTTTACCGGTGCTGGAGCGTCAACACGTGCTGGTCAGGACAGACAGTATGGCGGCGGCGGCGTATATCAACCGCATGGGGGGTATGCGCTCTCGCCGCATGTCTCAGCTCGCCCGCCGTCTGCTCCTCTGGAGTCACCCGCGGCTGAAATCGCTGCGCGCCATTCACGTTCCAGGCACGCTCAATCATGCAGCCGATGCGCTCTCACGACAGCTGTTACGCCCTGGAGAATGGAGACTCCACCCCGAGTCTGTTCAGCTGATATGGGCGCGATTCGGGGAGGCCCAGATCGATCTGTTTGCTTCCCCCGAGAACGCTCACTGCCAGTTGTTTTTTTCCCTGACCGAGGGCTCTCTCGGCACGGATGCACTGGCCCACAGCTGGCCTCGGGGCATGCGCAAGTATGCGTTTCCCCCAGTGAGCCTGCTCGCGCAGTTTCTGTGCAAGGTCAGGGAGGACGAGGAACAGGTTCTGCTAGTTGCGCCCCTTTGGCCCAACCGGACCTGGATATCAGAGCTCTCACTCCTCGCGACGGCCCTCCCCTGGCGGATCCCTTTGAGAGAGGACCTACTCTCTCAGGGACAGGGCACCATCTGGCACTCTCGCCCCGATCTTTGGAACCTCCACGTGTGGTCCCTAGACGCGAGGAAGACTTAGGTAACCTACCGACTGCGGTGGTTAATACCATCACTCAGGCTAGAGCCCCCTCCACGAGGCGCGCCTACGCCCTGAAGTGGAGTCTATTCACTGAATGGTGCGTCTCTCGCAGAGAAGACCCCCGAAATTGCCAGATTAGTGTTGTGCTCTCTTTCCTTCAAGAGAAGTTGGACAGCAGGCTGTCGCCCTCCACTCTCAAGGTTTACGTGGCCGCCATCTCCGCTTATCATAGCGCGGTAGCTGGCGGCACCGTGGGAAAGCATAACCTGGTCATCCAGTTCCTTAGGGGTGCTAGGCGAATTAATCCATCTCGCCCCCCTCTCATGCCCTCTTGGGATCTCGCCCTCGTTCTCACGAGTCTGTGATCCGATCCCTTTGAGCCACTCGAATCAGTATCTCTAAGATTTCTGTCCCTGAAGACAGCTCTGCTGGTTGCGTTGGCCTCCATCAAGAGGGTCGGGGACCTGGAGGCATTTTCGGTCAGTGACTCGTGCCTGGAATTCGGGCCAGATTACTCTCACGTCATCCTGAGACCCCGCCCCGGTTATGTGCCCAAGGTTCCTACCACCCCCTTTAGAGATCAGGTAGTGAACCTGCAAGCGCTGCCCCCAGAGGAGGCAGACCCAGCCCTTTCTTTACTTTGTCCAGTTCGCGCTCTGCGCATTTATGTGGACCGTACTCAGAATTTTAGATCATCTGAGCAGCTCTTTGTCTGTTATGGCGGTCGGCAGCAGGGAAGTGCCGTATCGAAACAAAGATTATCCCACTGGATTGTGGATGCCATTTCACTCGCTTATTCGAGTCGAGGTCAGCCGTGTCCCCCGGGAGTACGTGCACACTCCACTCGGAGCGTTGCATCCTCTTGGGCGCGTGCACGCAGCGCCTCTCTAACAGACATCTGTAGAGCTGCGGGCTGGGCGACACCCAACACATTTGAAAGGTTTTACAATCTGCGAGTGGAGCCGGTTTCCTCAAGGGTATTAGGTAACCCTTTGGTGATTGAGGAGACAACTCGGTAGGGTGTTGAAACACGCTTGCTGTGCCATTCTCCCTAACACGGAGGTACGTGCGCCTTTTTATCTGTCAGTAAAGTTCCCCGTCAGGTGAGCCCTGCAGATTCCTCCGTGGCCCCCAGCACTGACTCAGCGGAGGAGTCACTTGCTGGCCCACAACGTTGTAGGTCTGCCCGCTGGTCAGCCCGCGTTTTGGGTATAGGTGCCTGCTATGCGTGATCCCCACTAGGCGATCCCATATGCTCATTCCGCCACGGTTAAGTCCCCCCCCCTGGGCGGACCCGTGTCTTCCCTCTCCGCTAACCACGCTTTTGCTATGAGTACTCCCCCTTTTTAGGGCTAGTCCATATGTAAATTCTGCCATCTATCCCCCCCTTGGGTAACGGATGGCCTCCGCAGCGTCCTCCCTATCGGGATTGCACGCTTCCCAACGTACTGTCGTATTTCCTAGAATTATCTAGATGCTCACCACTTCCCAAAAAATATATCTAAATGCGTAAAACTTCTGTTGAAGTAGGATAAATTAGGGCCAGGGACACGTTGGAGGACCGAGCCTCCCATGATGTGGGTGCGTCACGCTTGCTTGACTATCTCCTCATCGGGGGTGTTGGTAAGGTGCAGTCATTATGGCGCTTTCCATACTTCTCCCATTTCGTGGATTCAATCAATCCACTCTATGGCACTGAAGTTCCCCAACCGAAGGGGAACGTTCGAGGTTACAGAAGTAACCCTTCGTTCCCCGAAGGAGGGGAACGGAAGTGCCATACTCCGTCGCCATAATGACTGTCCCTTAGCTGTTTGAAAGTCTCTTCAGCTTAAAAGGATGGCGTCTGCTGGCTTCAGGTGTGCTTATATGCTGAGATAATTGCAGATGCCGCACACCTACGCAAGCTTACGCTGCCAATTAATTTCATTCATTGGCCCGTTCAATACTCTCCAGACAAGCGGCTTCTGATCCGAATCCTCCCATTTCGTGGATTCAATCAAACCACTCTATGGCACTTCCGTTCCCCTCCTCGGGGAACGAAGGGTTACTTCTGTAACCTCGAACGTTTCCTATTATGTCTAACTGTGTTTGCATTTATTTGTTTGTTTGATTTTTAGGGGACGTTTTAAGGCTTTTCAAAAGACAAAGAGAGAGAATCCTAACGCTAGGTGAATACATGCTCTTTTGTTTTACTCCATTACTAGTTATACTCCAGTAAAGTTATTAAAACAGCTAACTATTAAACTGTTACTAACTATTAATTCATGCAATATCTCAAAGTGCAGTAAACAAATGTAAAGTCGTGTGTTGCTAAATGCTGATAAATAAAGCACAAAAATAACTGAAATTGAAAAGGAAAAAATAAATACACATTTCCATTTTTTTTTCCCCAAATAAATCTACATTTTTTAGACTGTTACTTGTTACTAGCCTTTGTTGCTTAAACTAACAACAGTCATTGTGTGACTAATTCAAAACTGACCATTGTCTTGAGCAGTGGACAGTATTTAAAATCAATTTTTAATTAATGTTTGTCTACTCTCTTATTTCTCTCTCTCTCTCTCTCTCTCTCTCTCTCTCTCTCTCTCTCTCTATTAGGTTTTGAGAACATTTGTTGTTTCTTTATCATCGTCTCCTTGGTCTTCTTTGAATTGCTCCAGTTGTTCTCCTCATTTGGATTTGCCTCTCTAGGTGACACTGTTTACTCATCTCTTGCAAATGTACACTGATATGAAACAAGTGGATTGTAAAAATGTGAAAACTGGGTTCACTGTTCACTAGTAGTAGTAGTAGACTAGCATGCAAGCATCAATGTGCATAAATTAAGTTAAATGCTTAAAACACACACACACGCACTGAAGACTCCCACTTGGTTACACTTTAACTTGATAATCCACTTGTAATAGATAGTAATAATTAGTGTTTTTGCAACTGTATGCCAACAATCTCTCACTGGAGTATTAGTAGAGGTAAATTTAACGTCTGGTAAATTTAAAATTTAAATGCGACGAATAAGCAGACCTACACAGCTCTTACAGCCAAAATGTCTGTTGGGGTTCATCATAGTAAAGTGTCAGCAGATTATAAAAATAATACAGTCTCCATTATTCCAATGACTGATAGTGTATGTAGTTGCAAATTTACTTACAGGAAGCAGAATGTACAGTATAATGAAGTGCTACCTCTAATTGTAGTGTTTTAATGAGCCACAAGCAATAATTTTATCTGGTTTGATGACATTATTTCTTTGTTTAGTTTGATTGGGTCATGTGCGTAGAGTTGCTGAAGTTTGCCCTGCGCGCTTGCAGAAACAGTGTATCAACTATTATCATTTGTCCAATGCACAGCAGTACAATAAAAATCCGACAGCTAACAAAATAAAATAAAAAAATTCTCTTACATTTGACAATTACTCGACAATTAAAAAACAAACAAATCTTACCTTCACCTCTACCCACATAGCTAACCATACAAGAAACATTTACCCTCACCTTCAAAAACTATTTTATAGAAAAATAGTATACTTACATCAACACAATTAATTTTTGATGCCAAAACATTAAAGAATATACATTTGTTATATTGTGTCGACCATCTAAGCGACAACTCTGTTCGCCAACATTCTCTTTTTCCTTTCGATATATCATGATGATCAAACATATGAAAAAATACTTTTACCTTTATTAACATTATTTCACAAGATAATAGCATAAACCATCATCATGTTCATCAACAGTCTCTTTTTCATTTCAATATATGATGATCAGCCACTCGAAAAATACCTTTACCTTCAAAAACATTATTTCATAATAAAACTGCATATCAATTATCATCAAGTTTATCAACATAGTTTGATTGGGAAAATAATGGGATCTTGTATATTTTTTATTATAGGACCTTTTGGTCTTTTTGTTGTGGAGATTGGTTGCATGTTATTGCTTGTCTATATGCTGTTTTTTCTTCGTCCACCAGCCAAATGTAAGTTAATTCCATTCTTGCATGGTTAATTGAGTGTTTTTAAAACGTTATATGACTAGAAATAATAATAACCTATAATTTTTAGTTTATATAAAGTTTATATAATACAGAAGCTATCCTTTGTACTAGTGTTATTAATGCATTTTGAATTGAATTTACTGAAAAAGTGTAGTAATTATGATGATAATTGTGTTGTGAAAAGTCAGGAAAGTATAGGGGCCAATAAATGGACTTTAGCCACCATGTTAAGATATGGGGGTTTTTAGCTAGTTTTACCCCTGATTTTCACCTGTTGAGAATAGATGATATAATCTTGTCGAGGAGCTCCGTCAGTTCTCATTCGGTGCAGATTATACACTAGTTTTGTGAATGTGGAATGACATGCATTCACACGTGCCTTCGATCAGATAAATGATTTTTATATTTATATATTTTTGAATGATAGAGTATTATGTCAAAGTAGTCAGAATAATTATTTACAATTATTTTTTTAAGGGAAGTTCTCCCGGCCATAATTTAAAATGAAAAAGTCACAAACAGCAAAAGGTACATAGACAATGGAAAAGCATTCCAAGATGTATGTTAAAGACTGCATTGGATGATAAAAAATCAGTACAATTATAAAATTAGTGAATGGCTTTAGATCATTTGTTGTAATATTATCATAAAAAAGTTAAAACATTTTGATTTAAAGGGTTTCACCCAAAACTAAAATTTCTGTCATGATTTACTGACCCATTACTTGCCATGAAACTTTTGACTTTTTTTTTCTGTTAAACCCAAAAGCAGATATTTTGATCAAAAAGCTGAAAACATTGACTTGCATATTATTTATTATTATTTTATTTATTTATTAATTAATTAATTAATTAATTTTTTTGTAGTAAAGGGTGAATAAATGACAGAATATTCAGTTTTGGGCTGTTAATAAATAAACAGAAGATTGATCACAGTCAGATCAAAAGCATGTTTTAAGGGTCAATTTTAATATTATGCTGATGGTCGTCTTTTCATTGGCAGGTCTCTGCAGAACATGGATTGTAGCATTGTGGATAATAACAATATCAGTTCTGGATATCATTATAGTCATTTATATTCATCTGGTTATATTGGAAAGGGAGAAAGGTATGTTGCATTAATTTTAAAGTTGTTTTGTATAATTATTTTGTTCTTTTTTTTACAATTAGACCATATAGCACTGTTTAGATTATTATTTGTTTATTTACTTTTTTGGTGTAGGAAAGCTCACATTTATCTTTAATGGAAGATTTTTTGTTGTAAGTTTTCAGTTAGGATTGTTGACCTGGAACAATGATGTACATAATGTGTAATATTTAATAATATTTTTTATAGATTTAATAGGAACATAGTGAGTTTAGTGAGTTTAGTCATCTGTTTTATTAGACATGTTGTGCTGATCAGAAATGCTGTTTTTAATTGTCAGAGCGCTTGGAGTGGACCTGTGTCATTTCATTTCTTCACGTTCTGAAGATTATCATGATGCTTGTGCAAGGTATTGTTCATCACCAGTGTTGGGAGTTATGCGTTACAAAAGTAATGTATTACAGTAACGTATTACTTTTTTCCTTTAACACTGTAGTGTAAGGCTTTACTAATACATTTTCAGTAATATTTTACTCGGTACATGTTCAGTAACGCGTGCATTACAATAAAATTTTCGCAGGCAAGATATTAACAAATAAAACATATCGCAGTTCTATTTCCTGTTCGTGGTTAGTGAATATACGTGTGTGCTGTCATTGATCTCCCTCTGGCTATTGGACCTTTTTACTTTGAACGTGGAATCATTTCAGCATTCTGAGCTCGAGGTCTGAGGCTATTAGCTCAGCCTGGTTCGCAGTAATGTTAAGCCCTAATGCGCTCTGGAAAACCGGCAAATAGATAAAACGCTTGGGTCGCGTTGACGTGGCATGATGGCGCCGTACTTGTGGCAGCCTGTTGCAGCAGCTCTGGATGTTTTTAACTTTGTGTACTTGTTGTACTTTTTAAATATTTTTTTGCAATGGTTAAGGACTTTGTACTTGCACACTTTTCAGTTTGAGAGCATCAGAAAGCACTGGATCATATTTATTTTTATACTGGCGTTTTTAATTGGAAAGTCGGATGCCGTGAATAGTCCGGCAATTGCAGACGCTGTCATTTATTCAAGAGAGCAACTCCTGGCACTTCGGCATACATCGACGTTTTCGGTACCTACTATGGAAGTTCCTACGGAACTTAAGAGACGACGAAGAGGGTGTAGAGCTGGTGTGAAACGCCGATTAAAGAAAAAGCGCTACAAGCCATCCCTGCCTGTTATTATCATGGGTAATGTTCGATCGCTTAGGAACAAGACGGAGGAGCTGACGGCGCTTGTAAGAACACAGCGGGAATATCGTGAGTGCAGTTTTATGTGTTTTACCGAGACATGGCTGAATGATAAAACACCTGACTCAGTGGTTGCATTGGACCGCTTCCACTTGGTGCGTGCGGACAGGTGCGCGAAGCAGACTGGTAAGAATAAAGGTGGTGGACTGGCATTGTTTGTCAACGAACGCTGGTGCCGCCCAGCACACATTACAACAAAAGAAGTAGTGTGTAACAAGGATATTGAACTATTGGCTGTGGGAATGAGGCCCTATTATTTGCCGAGAGAATTCTCTTATGTGATCGCTATAACGGTGTATATCCCTCCCTCGGCTAATGCGAGTAACGCATGTGAGCATATTAACACCGTTACAGCCAGTATACAATTAAAATATCCTCATTCACTTATTGTTATTTCTGGAGATTTTAATCACGTATCTCTACAAAGTTCTCTGCACACTTTCACCCAGTATGTAGACTGTGGCACAAGGGACTGTAAAACTCTGGACATGCTATATGCAAATGTGAAAGATGCCTATGCTTCTACACCGCTCCCTCCTTTGGGGCGATCGGACCATAATCTTATTTACATCAGATCTGTCTATGTTCCGGCTGTAAGGAAGCAGCCACCAACGATAAGAACAGTTCAAGTATGGTCTGATTCTGTGTATGAGGCATTGATGGATTGTTTTGATTCAACAGACTGGGAGGTTTTGTGCAAATCCCATGATGAGGACATTGACAGCCTAACAGACTGTATAACTGATTATATTAACTTTTGTGTTGAAAACACAGTACCCACAAAAAAGGTTAAATGCTACTCAAACAATAAGCCATGGGTGACCCCTGAATTAAAGGCATTATTAAATGAAAAAAAGAGGGCATTCTTAGCAGGTGATAGAGAGGAAATTAAGCGGGTCCAGAAAGAGCTAAAAATTAAAATTAAGGAGGGGAAGGTTAATTATAAATCTAAAATGGAACATAAACTACAACAAAATAATGTTAGAGATGTATGGAGTGATCTAAATAGGATGTCTGGATCTGGTAATAGTCTAAAGAGATGTACTGCCTCTGTTGGAAAGAACTGGGTGGATGAAATTAATATATTTTTTAATAGATTTGATGCAGCAACCAGTGTTTTAGAAAATTCTCATCCGAGTACACATCAGAGTTCATTTTTAGATTCACCGTCAGTTTTAACTTCTAATTTTTCTACTTGTGAGTCTGGTACTAAACTAGAAGTAACCATAGAACAAGTAAGAAATGGGTTGAGGAGAATTAAAAAGAAGAAATCCGCTGGACCAGATGGCATCAGTGCTGGAGTTCTTAAAGCCTGTGCGGATCAAATTTGTTGGGTGGTGCATTACATTTTTAATTTGAGTTTGCGTTTGGAACGAGTTCCCATTTTATGGAAGACATCATGCGTAGTACCGGTCCCTAAGAAACCTAACCCTACTGAGTTCTCTCATTATAGACCAATAGCCCTAACTGCCCAGTTGATGAAAGTTTTCGAAAGATTGGTTTTAAATTATATTAAGAAACTGTTGATTGCTTCTGAGGACAGACTGCAGTTTGCATATAAAACTGGTGTAGGGGTAGATGATGCAATTATTTATCTTCTACACAAATCTCTAAGTCATCTGGAAACATCGGGTAATACTGTTAGGATCACATTTTTTGATTTCTCAAGTGCATTTAACACTATCCAGCCTGCACTATTAAAGGTAAAATTAGAAAATGCAGGTTTACAAAAAGGTATGGTAAGTTGGTTAACTGACTATATCACTAATAGACCACAGTATGTTAGGATGCATAACTGTGTGTCACAAGTTATAATGAGCAGTACTGGTGTTCCTCAAGGAACGGTTTTAGCTCCATATTTATTTACATTTTATACATCTGATTTTCAATACAGCTCCAAAAATTGTCATTTACAGAAGTTTTCTGATGACTCTGCAATTGTAGGTTATATAAGGAATCATGATGAGAGTGAGTATAGGTTGCTTTTAAAAAGTTTTGCTGACTGGTGTGATATGAATTGTCTTAATTTAAACACTAGTAAGACCAAAGAAATTATTGTTGATTTTAGTAGACATCCATCACAAGCGGTGCCCGTAATTATACAAGAGTCAGAAATTGAGATCGTTTCGTCATATAGGTACCTGGGTGTATATTTGAACAACAAGCTCGATTGGTCTGAAAACACAATCCAGGTGTATAAGAAGGGTCAGAGCCGCATTCATTTATTAAGACGACTGAGGTCCTTTGGTGTGTGTCAGACACTGTTAAAAACTTTTTATGACTCTGTGGTGTCTTCTGTGATTCTGTATGCTGTAACCTGCTGGGGAGGGGGACTGTTGGAGAAGGAGAAAAACAAATTGAATAAGCTCATAAAAAGGGCAGGTTCTGTTGTGGGGGGTGCACTACCTACCATAGAAGAGATTGCACAGGAGCGAATGCTGGACAAATTTGTTAGTATAATGAACCACGATAGTCATCCCCTTTATGATACAGTCCAAGCGTGTGCAAGCTCTTTTAGTACAAGATTAATTCAACCCCGGTGCTACAGAGAAAGATACAGGAAGTCTTTTTTACCAACTGTGATCAGATTGTATAACCAAAGTCATACCAGATGAATTGTGCTGAACTTGAATTAGATATTGGATATGAACAAGTGTTTACTCGTTGTTTTTGGAACCAAGGTGTGCAGTATGAAATGTAATCTTATTATTGTTTTTATATGTATGTAACTTATTTATCTATTTTTAGTATGGAGAGCTCTGCTGTGACATGTGAATTTCCCTCCGGGGATTAATAAAGTCAAACTAAACTAAACTAAACTAAACTAAAATGGCTGAAGACAGTACGTTTGCGAGATAGACATGCGCGTATATGACGTTATTTCACTGACAAATGTTGTTAGTGCAATATTACAAGTAGAGCGCTCACTCGAGGGTTTCCTCTGTTTGTGGACAAAACTGCTTGCGAGCTCTCAAATATAATACGCTATTTGAAGAGTGAATAGCACAGTAGGCTATAATGCCTTATCAAGTTTCCCTATTTTCTATTAGTTATATTTCTGCTTGCGTTAGTTATATTTTTGTTTAAATGTGTTTTATTTGATTAGTATGGTGCACCTTTTATATGTTTAACAAATGTTTTTAAAATAAAACCTATTCTTGACATCCAAAGTCTATTCTCTGTGTCTTTAAGTGTTTGAAACTGGAAATATCTCATCATATAGTGTAACATACAGCCAAATATGTTCTGGTTTATTATGTAATATGCGAGTCTATTTTAGTTTGTTGGTTATTGTTAATAAACAGTGCACCAGTATAAATCATATTAAAAAGCACAAGAGAAAAAAATAACACACGAAACAAATTGTGATTCTGCGTATAATCTCGCTGAGCGAGCAGTGTACTGAGAACACACAGTGTACTGAGAATTTGCACACGAGCAGTGTATATTTGAGAGCTCGCAAGCAGTTTTGTCCACAAACAGAGGAAATCTGTGCAGAAGCAAAGAGATTCACTCGCTCGTATTATATGAATGTGCTCTTGACTTGTAATACCGCGCTCATGACATTTGTCAGTGAAATAACGGCATACGCGCATTACTTCGATTTTGTCCAATATAAGGACAAGAAGAACGTTATTGTCAAATGCAACCTTTGTAAAAACCTGAGAGAATTATCGACATTGAGAATTAGCACTAGCAATTTAAAAAAACATCTGGAGCGTTGCTATGCGTCCACTTACAGCGAAGAGAAAGACAACGGAGGACGAGAGTGATAAGCCAAAGCAGCAGAAATTAAGTTTTTCTCGGTCAGTGGATTAATTTAGTCTTTTTAGAGGCATATAGATCTCTGTTTTATCTGCTTTCTTTTTAAGCAGTGAAGCAATGTTTAGCCTATATGTTAGTTTCTATGGCCTAAAATGGCTGAGGTTGAGGGGTTGGTCCTCTAATTGCACTTTATACTGAGAAAGCTGTTCATCACGCTCACTTTATGCATGACAGTTTTGTGTTGTAAGCCACTCGAATTTGAAGTGATTAAAATAATGGCAATAATAATAAAAGAAAAAAATCTGCATCTTTTCATGACATCGTTTTCTACTGGGTGTAAAATGCTCTGCAGTACACTTCAGTACTCATGTTAGAATGTTAAGTCCTAATTCTGTAGTTATTTTGGTAAAAGTAACTAAAAAGTAATATAAGAGTAATGTAACATTACAATTCTGAGACAGTAATATTGTAAGGGATTACGGTTATATAACAGTAACAAGTAATCTGTGATATATTACAGTTTGGAAGTAACTTGGACAACACTGTCCATCACTGACTTAATGCTTCATCAAGTAGGAGTACAGAATAAATGTGCCAAACTAAACCCACTCAAATGTTGTCAGTTTGACCTGCATGTTTGATTAACACTATTAGTGACATTATTTTGTACATTACATTGTGTTTTAGAGACAATTTACATGATATGCTCATACTTTTCTCTCTGATTTCATAATCCCTAATACAGAATTGATTTACTACCAAGAAATTGTTAAAATATTGTCTAGGCCTTTTGATTTATTACTATTGTTGTTGTTGTCATAAAAAAAAACTATTTGTCTTTTTCTCATGCTAGAATAGAAAAGATCCCAAAATAAAGTCATATTTTCTGCTCATTCATCTGAGTTTTGTTTTTAACAGTAAAAAAACTTTCAGAAACTCTGAGAATACGACAGCAGACTGAGACGAGCGAGCAAGGATCAAACACATGTAATCTTTCATTCATCAATAATTTATTATTAACTATGCATTCATTGTGGCATAACTGAAAATAGAAGAGATCTGTGTCATTACTGCAACATTTAATCATTTACCTCTTGTGTGTGTCTGTCTCAGTGTCTCCCTGTAATGAGGTCATGTACATGTTTGGAGCAGTTGGTGTTGTTTTGTTGAGCTCTGTTTCACTGACAGCAGAACTCATCCTGAAAGCACGTGAGTCAATATCATTTTTTTAAATGATTATATATTTGTATATGTGTGTGCATGTTTATGGCATATATATTTAACCTAACTGTTATTATAAAACAACTTGATCTAATACAAAATCTTGCTGAAAATGAGCAGAACACAGATTAGTTACATATTAAATAGTTTACCAATTTGCTGTGAGATATCCTGCATGCATGTTTCTCATAACTCTTCTTTAATTGTAATATTTCAGTAAATGGAGAGCGTGTCATTGAAGATCTGAGAGTCATCGTCTTCCCTTCTGAATCTGCTTTTGCCTTTTATTGGCTGCTGTTACAAACACACGCTCACTGTAAGCATATTTTAATATCTTTTTTTCATTATTGCCTTTACAACAGTTGAGTTATTTATTATTTATTAAACTGAAAAAAATGCATTTAACATTTTTAATATAAAATTACTTGTAGGGTATTTTTTTATTATTGAATTATGTTGTACTATGCTTTTATCTATATTGATCTTACAATAAAATAGCCATAAGTTGCTGATGTAGCAATAAACAAACGTTTACCTTTACTGCTGTACATGAAAGAAATGGCTATCAACAAAGAGAAAGGTTTTAATGTCTGTTTTTAGGTGAAACAGACTAGTAAACAAGTAATATTTAAATGCAACTGCATTTAATAAATAATAACTCAGAAAATTGAAAATTATTTTGGCATAATTTTTTCATTTTCATTTAGTTGTCTTCTGTTAATATTATTTTATCATATTAACATTTTATATATTATGAAGCTCAGTGGAAAGTATCAAGTATGTCTTGAATGTTCAGTCAAGAAGTAGTCAGAAGCCGGTTACTCTTTTAAAATGAACATCACAAACTAATAATGTATTGAAGTAATAATGTTCACACCAAGTGTGCCGCAAGCCTGCGTTTGAGTGAAGGTCTCGGCCGTTAGATCGCCCCCTGGGGGCTGGCTGCAGTACAAGTCATAAAGCCCGCCTCCTCCGTGTTAATGAAGGAGACTTGAGCCCAAATAAAAAAAAATATTACACTTGCAATAAAATGTCCCGAAAGATAGTTCTGGTCGATTAAGGCACTGGTTATTGTGCTGAAATAGGTGCAGATCTTCATTTTTGTAAACAGTTTGTTTTTAGCAGTAATTTAATGCTGGGCGTGTCATCGTGATTGACTGTTGTGATTGACAGTTTCTCAAAGCAGCGCGTCTGAGCTTCGGCAGAAGACTGAAGTAGACTGAAATGTTATTATTCGATTTCTGTGTTATTTTACCATGACAAAATGAGTTCAGCAGTAAACTATAGTTTCTGACATACATGATCCTGGTGGAACACAGTTTATTCGCTAAGTTCAGGGCTTTTTTCGGGCTTTATTAGTTTGCTGATACACGCCTAGCCACCCAGATAGCAAAACACAGTTCCGGCTAGATTCTCGCCTGCCGGAGACTTATCTCTTAGAGCTCAGACTGACTAATGTTACCTCTGCTGGACCTACTCCGGATGCCTGGACTCACTACCCAATTCCAGCCCGAGTCAATCGAGCCAGATGCGGCGGCCGAGCGAGCAGGCGCTGCCGCATGCGAGCCGGAATCAGCCCGCGACGCTGCGAGTAAGTTATGCGCTGCGGCCTGGAGCTGGCGCGATTGAATATATAAAACCCTCATATTTGTTAACGTTATTACATCCACTTGTGTTGATATGACAGCAAACGCATGCTGAGAAGTTCGGGGGGCGTGGTTGATTTTACATAAAGCGTTTGATTGGAAGCTCGACTCTGCTCATTTTCGCGGCTCCTCCTCTGGCTCCATCAGACAATCCTTCTGCGCATGTCTGGCTCCAATTTCAGCAGTCTTTTGCGACAGTTTGTGCCCGTCAAGCAGGCGTTTTGCCCTCAAGGCGTTCAATGGGAAAAAGGGCTGTCGCGTCGTCCATATTTTTAACAGTCATTGGTTCACACTTAATGTTGATCATCGGCTAATATAACATAAGTATATGGTGCATTGCTGATTTGTTTATCTGTAATGCACTGTAAATACTGTACTCTATTAATCTAGACAATGTATTTAAACTACAAAAAACAGTAAATGTTGGAGCAGAGATCAGGGTTTCCATAATGCAGTTTGAAAATTAAAAAACATTCAATAAAATATGCATTTAAACTTGTGATCAGTTGTTGATTAATATGAACTTCATTAACTATTTTGTCTCTATTTTCTTCTATCACATAGTGAAGGTTCTTATACCAGGGTAAGTTCAGATTTTTATTCGTCACAGCTCTCATGGTATAATTATATACATATGGAGTAACTGAAAACAGGATGTTGAATTGATGGAAAACTGAGACAAGTATGGGATGTGCAGTGTTTTTACATTTGTCCGGTTTTTGTCCTCAAACTGCTTCTGTGTGTAGCACTAGTTTCTCACACATCTCACCCAAAGCTTTCTGTTGAGTTTAGCTGTGATTTTTGTCTGTTGTATCTGTGCAATAACTGAAATCATTTAGCGTAGTGAAATAGAGCTGTAATCCGCTCAAAACCTGCCGGAACTACTTTTGCTGTGTGTTTATGTTAAGAAAATAATGACATCTTAGAATGCTCAACAGCCAATCAGAATCAATTCAACTGTCCTGTAGTATAAATGCGTATAACACACACTCAGCTGTTTCTGTTTCATTGTTCAATCCGTAGTTTTGTTTTGTAATACAGATCTGCAGATAGTCTAAGGAACAACGCTGAAAGACTTCAACTCATGGTAATATATTATATCTTATGTATCAGCTGATCTGCAGTATGCAGTAAGGGTTTGTCATCTTAGTGTGGAGTGATGTGAGTACAGATGTGCTGATGACATAATAACAATGTTTTGTTTTGTACACAGAGAACAACCGAATTGTGAAATGGAGATTCTGTCTGCACTTGATTCTGCTTCTCCAGATTGACATATAAATCAATTGTGGTACATTTTTAAAACTGTGTCTGTTAATTTATTCATCTTTAACTGTGTATTAGATAAAATGAGGGATCTTTTTGTCCATGTTTGAGACTACAGCATTGGTCAGTTACTATTTTGTTCTATTTGTGTCTTTGACTTTGATTGAATATTTGTCCATCGGGTTTTCTGTTCTGTCAAATGATGGAAAAGTTAAAGATTTTGACTGTGGCAGATTTTTGTTGTCTATGCAGTAATTTTTTGTGTATAATATTTCAAATTAACACTGTCTCAGCAAACTGTATATTGTGTTTATTTTTTTTTCTTTATTCAATTCAATTTTAATTCAGCTTTATTTGTACAGCGCTTTTACAATGTAGATTGTGTCAAAGCAGCTTCACATAAATGGTCATAGTAACTGGATCAGGGTAGTTCAGTTTTTAGTGTTTAAGTTCAGTTCAGTTTAGCTCAGTTCAGTGTGGTTTAAAATCATTACTGAGAGTCCAAACACTGAAGAGCAAATTCATCGATGCGTAGCTCTACAGATCCTGAACCATGCAAGCCAGTGGCGACAGCGGAGAGGGAAAAAAAACGTCACCATTAGAAGAGTAAAGGAAAAAACCTTGAGAGAAAACAGAATCAGTTGGGCACTTAATACTTTATTGGTATATGAAGCAGAACTAATTGATTTATTGTTTATTTAAAATGATTGTTTTTGTACCGTCTGCCATTTACAGTTTTATGTAAATGGTTATATATTCATCTTTGAGTTTTATTAGATAATAAATGTACATTTTTGAAAATATTTTGAAATGTGTTTTGTAAGTATTTGTGGATATTGCATCAAACATCAGGCATTGTTTATGTTTGTCTGATTCTGATGATGACGGTGAAGTTTATCAGAACTGACTGCCAAATGTAAATCTGTGCAACAGCAGTATATGTGTATAATATTTCAAATAAGCATCGGTTTTGTAAAGTGTTTTGACTAAGTTCATGTAAGTGCAGTTCAGTATGTTGACTGTATAGAAATGAAGACTTTAAATAAGAAAATAAAGCTGTTACATTTCTCATATTTGTCTTTAGTTTCGTTCTGTTTATAATTTCTGTTCATACAACAATAATAGCAGATTTACAAAGCTCAGTATTGATATACTGTAAAGTGCCTCAGTGCAAAAACACTTGATGGATCAACGTCAGCTCATCCTCTGAGCTGAACATCGGTTTCCCCCACAGTCCAAAGACATGCGCTATAGGTAATTTAGGTAAGCTATATTGTCCATATGAATGAATGTGTATGAATGTTTCCCAGAGATGTTTTGAACCTGAAGGGCATCCGCTGGGGAAAACATATGCTAGATAAGTTGGTGGTTCATTTCGCTGTGGCGATCCCAGATAAATAAAGGGACTGAGCCAAAAAGAAAATGAATGAATACATTCCCCATATTTAACATATTTAATTACTTTATTTGTAACAAATTCTGTTACAATAAAAATGCTGAAACAATAAGTGATAAACAATTCACAAATACATACAGTTAAAGTCAGAAGAATTATTAGCCCCCTTTTGAATTTGTTTTTCTTTTTTAAAAATATTTGCCAAATTATGTTTAACAGAGCAAGGAAATTTTCACAGAATGTCTGATAATATTTTCTCTTCTGGAGAAAGTCTTATTTGTTTTATTTCCGCCAGAATAAAAGCAGTTATTAATTTTTCAAAAAACATTTTAAAGGTCTGTATTATTAGCCCCTTTAAGCTGTATGTTTTTCTCAATAGTCTACAGAAAAAAATCATTAAAAAATTAAAACTAAAAAACTAGAAAAAAATATCTAGTCAAATATTATTTACTGTCATCATGACAAAGATAAAATAAATCAGTTATTAGAAATGAGGTATTAAAACTATTATGATTAGTAATGTGTTAAAACAATCTGCTCTTCATTAAACAGAAATTGGGGAAAAAAAAATAAGCGGGCTAATAATTCTGACTTCAACTGTGTGTGTGTGTGTGTGTGTGTGTGTGTGTGTGTGTGTGTGTGTGTGTGTATATATATATATATATATATATATATATATATATATATATATATATATATATATATATATATATATATATATATATATATATATGTGTGTGTGTATATATATATATATAGATAGATAGATAGATAGATAGATAGATAGATAGATAGATAGATAGATAGATAGATAGATAGATAGATAGATAGATAGATAGATAGATAGATAGATAGATAGATAGATAGATAGATAGATAGATAATTTAATACTGGCTGTTTATTCTGCTGTGGTGACCCCTGATAAAGGGATTAAAGAAAAAATGAATGAAGTAATATAATATTGGTTTTAATATAAATTAAATTATACGTTTTGCTTTACAGTAAGTGTGCAGTTAAATTGTCTTTTGGAGAGTTACATACAAATGCATTATTCTGTTATTAAAAATATTAAATTATTAAAAATAAAAAGATTACAACAGATTAGAAAAATATCTTACCAGGAAAAGCATTTTCATGCAGGCTAAAGACAGGCAAAACAAAAACATGAAAGAAAATTGACCTATGAAAGTGAGATGTAGTACATGTAGCTACTTTGCATGTGGTTAGATAAAATTGAGCCAAACTAACAACATTGCCATTGTTTTGTCTTTGCATCTGATTTGAATGAACACATATTTGTTTACATATTGATACTGTTGGACTTTCCCCTATCAGTCACACTAAGCCACAGCTGTTATGGAGCAAGGTTAAATGAGGTTAAGCACACAAACATAAGGTCATATATTTGATAGTTATTGAATGTATTTAAAGTTAGAAAACATTATAATTCCTTCAATACATACTCATGTGTAATTTAATCATCTAATTAAAAACGTTGAAATTTCATGCTTGCTAAAAAAATGTTTTTTAATGAGTATTTAACATGCATTCTTCATCGTGTCACGTTTGGCATGATGTGTGATGATTATACTAAAGTTCTGGAGACTCATAATAACACTGTGCTGCCTCCCCCTACAGGACTCATCAGAAACAACAGGAGTGTAAAACTGCCTGAATCCAAGTCTGCCTCCTCGATCAGTTTGGGTGACCAACACAACTATGATTCACTATTGTAGATGAAAAGCAACCACAGGTCTCAGATCAGGGGTTAAAATTACTCAGTACACGACCTTAAGAGAGGAGAGTAGAATAACATGGTTTAAAATAGTGTTTTTTTCTTTTCTTTTTTTTGAAGATGCTCTTTTTTATGTACATATTGTTGTACACATAATTTCACAGTGTACAAATATTATGTTTACTTCAGAGTCAGTACTCGTTAGACTTATTCTCGTTATGTCGCCCACATGATTCTATGAAAAAAAAAAAGATTGAGGTGTTATGATAACCTATGCTATACCTTATGTCTTAAAAAGCATTTAGCCAAAAATTAAATAAGATTATAAAATTTAGCCCAATGGACCTACAGAAGTGTCTACATAGAAAACAAGAATATTTCCTCAACAGTATTTTTGCTCTTGTTCTTCCTGGTTTTACCAAAATAAATTCTGACATAGGTGCGCATTCATAAAAGTGAAAGTATATTTTTGACGAGCCTTCTCTCATTTCTTGTAGAAAGGCTCTCATTTTAAAAATCATTTATAATAGTTTATGACGTTAATGATAAAACTAGTTTCCTGCTTTTATATGTCAGTACTTCTGATGGTTGCTGATAGTACGTACTTTTCACCTTTGTGTGTGGAAATAACCTTCAAGATTTCTTCCTCTTTTTTTGTTTGTTTGACACAATCAACTGTTGTTTTATGTTTTCAGGCTTCACTGTTCGTGGTCCCTCTGCTCCTCTGTCTGCTCCTCTGGGATCTTCAGTGGTTTTGCCCTGTTATGCTGATGAAGCTTTACCAGTGGAGGATCTGGAGGTGGAATGGAGAAGAGCAGACTCAGAGACTCTGATTCATCTGTATCAAGATGGAGAGAGTCGAGCAGAGGTCCAGCAGCAGGATTATCATGATAGAGCTCATTTCTTTACTGAGGAGATTCAACATGGAAACTTCTCCCTCCGTCTGGACAAACTCAGAGCTCAAGATGAAGGAAATTATACATGTAGAGTTTTTATTCAGCAGTACTGGAGAAACTGTTGCTCAGATAAAAGTTGGTAATGGTGAATGACATCAACTTGAATTGTGCTGAAAATTTTAATCAAATGACATTTGATGTAATGAATGAAACTATTTGTTTTCTTTCAGAGCGTTTGTTTGTATCAGGATCAAATCATCTTGAATCTGCATATGTTGGTGAGGACGTGACTCTGAACTGCTCTGTAGACTCTCACATCACTCCTGAACACATTGAAGAGGTTTCATGGATGAAAACGGATAAAGATGGAGATTTTCTGGTTCTGCTGTACCAGAACAATGAATTGTTCATCTCCCACCTCTGGTAAAATCTCAGAGGCAGAGTTGAGTTCTTCACTGCAGAAATCCCCAAAGGAAACTTCTCTCTCAGACTGAAGAGTGTCAGAACTGAGGATAAAGGAGTTTACATGTGTCAAGTGTTTGCTGGAGATTTATCAGCCAATGCTACTGTAGTGCTGGAGAGACTGGGTAAGGAACAAATATGGTCTATATGCTCTATACTTAAATTAAAAACTCATTAGCAATTGGTATTAACAGTGTTTTTTGTTGCTATGGTTTTGGACCTTGATTATAATTGATTGAGCCAGATTCAAAGTTGGTGTATGTAAATGACTCTACAGACAGAAATGTCAGAATATGTTGCTGTCTACTATTTTGACTCTCATCACTGAGTTTTATTTGATGAAGTTTACAACGTAGGTTCATGGAGAGCACAATGTGTGTCAATCATCACACTGGTATTTAAGCAGAAGCCATTGCCCTGTGTCTGCTGAAATGTTTTTTCTAAGTCTCTGCTTTGAGAAGTACACTCATAGGGGTTTAACCCTTCTGTTACGGGTCAAAAATGATCCATGGATTTTTTAACAGCAGAAACTGTGTTTTTATCTTGATGTTAGGCGAGTTTCTCTAAATTTAACCCATATTGGAAAAAAAATCTATAATTTTCTATTTTCATCACAAGGTTGTATACATTTAGGGTACAACCGTTGTGGTTTAAGGTTAATTTTAACTCACAGGTAACAAAACTATTTTTACACCACAAAAACTTATATTTAGATGGACATATTTTAATGGCTTTAGCATTTGCAGAACCTGTGAGTGGATATACAAGCTTTTTACGATCTGTATCTTTATTTAATACAAAACATCACTTTAGTATTTTGTTTGTTAAATACTCTGATTCAGTAAAATGAGAACATTGACTGATTGCTCATTTCTTTATTTCTGTAAATTTCTCAGTTTGATAGTTTTGTTTCAGAACAATGTTGTGAGGCAAAGAAGTTTGCTTTTTTGCTTTTCAAACACTTTTAAATTTAGGAGGAATCTAACATTTTTAAATAAACTCATTTCATCTTTACTCTATTATCTTCTTTTTCAGCTGAAGAGTTAACCTGACAAACTGTTTTGGGTTTCAGAAAAAAGCTGCTTCTACAGATTAAGGTTTGAATCCCAGCACATAGTAAAGTGCACACACTGTATGTGTTATAGTATTTACATCATTTTGGTAATGATTGCTACAGAATATTTTAGTATTAATTATTAAACTAATAAATACTGTAGTACAATTAGATTTTTATTAACATAATTTGTGATGTTTTATAGTGTCATCAGAGCAAATATAGAATTACCACAACAGATTAAGTATATTACTATTGTAAGTTAAAAAAACACTAGTATTTACTATAAATTACTGGTATTTTTTCAAGTGGGTTAGAATCAGTTTAAAGATAAACCCAAATAAGTATTTAAGTAAAAAGTGACAATTAGGCCAAGTAACCTCAGTACTGAAGTTCTGAGCTAACATATATTTTAAGCACACACATTTCAAGTTTTAAATGTTTTTGTAGGTGTGTTCATTGAGAGACACGCGGAAAAACAAGCTTTAGAACAATGAGGAAACACTCAAATAACAGAAACTGTAAAACCTCAAAAGTTTTCCAGCAGTTTTTATTCTAGATCTTTTGTTATGGATAAACAAGCTACAATTTGCCATTAAATCCTTCAAACTGTTTTCATTTGGTGTCGAACCCTTGATGATATGCACTTTCAGACGTATTGCAGGTGGTTTTATTCCTTAATAGTAAAGTTTTTCAGTTTAGCCAAAACTGGTTAGTCTGGATTTGTAGCAATGAACTCTTCGTTGAAAATGAAAGCAAATTAACACAATGTTTTCATGACCAGATCATTTACAGATTTTCCCTTAGACAGCATAGAGACGTGATCATGACTTCAGCTGAGCATGGAGAGTCTTATTTTTTTGATTATGGCTGTTTTTCCAATTATATCTGATGGTATGTACATTCGTTACTAATGTTATTTTCTCTTTGAGCTGATCACATATTAATTACACCCAGTTTAACACCTTTGACTGAATATGTTGCTACGTAAAATATGTTCAATGGTTGAAATAAGTTTGTGCTGGTTAAAAGAAACCATTGCAGGATTGTCAAATCAGCACTTATATAAAAAGTGTATGGGTCGCATGCTTGTTCACATTGTCCTTTGTTTTTGAACACTGCTAGTTTGATATTGCTGAAGGGCATCTGCTGCAAAAAACATATGTCAAAGTAATTACCCATTCATTCCACTGTGGAGACCCCTGATGTGTTTATTTTAAAAATAATTATATTTTGTAAAATGTGGCAGGGACAGTTACATTGACAATATTTAAAGTCAAAACAATCTGAAAACATTGTACATTTTTTATCATGTTAAATCATGTTATGCAAACAACAATACTGACATTGCTCTGCAGCGCGCAATATATAACATTAAATTACAATAGATAATCTGAAAATCTTAAAGAGTTGCTGTGTTGTTCCTGAACTTACCGTAATCATAGTAATACGTGTACATATAAATACAGTACAAATCATGGCTGGCTTGATTGTGTTTGTTTTGGAGTGTGGCTGGCTTGACAGCACTCTAAAAACTCTGACAAGTGTATCTGAGTTAGAGCCAAAATGGCATCGGCCACAAAAAAACAAAAAAGTGAAACAAAAGGGCAGGTTGTTTAAAGACAAAGTAATTGTGTATTTCATATTTTTGCTTACGACTATTTTAACTTAATAAGAGATTGGAATAATAAGAGAAGGAAGGGGAAACTTTTTGTAAAAGTAATGTGATTTCAGATTGTCATTTATACCTGATAAAAATGTAATGTGTATTTATATAGCGCATTGTGGCCATATGGCCATACACCCAAAGCGCTTCACAATCATGAGGGGGTCTCTCCACACCACCACCAGTGTGCAGCATCCACTTGGATGATGCAATGGCAGCCACAGGACAACGGCGCCAGTGCGCTCACCACACACCAGCTATTAGGGGAGTGGAGAGACAGTGATAGAGCCAATTCGGTGGCTGGGGATGATTGGGAGGCCATGATCGCAAGGGCCGTTTGAGGGACTTTGGACACTGGGGTTACACCCCTGCTCTTTCACGAGAAATGCCATGGGATTTTTAATGACCACAGAGAGTCAGGACCTCGGTTTAACGTCTCATCCAAAAGACGGCGCCCACTGACAGTGTAGTGTCCCCTTCACTTTTACTGGGGCATTAGGACTCACATAGACCACAGGTTGAGCGCCCCCTGTTGGCCTCACTAACACCACTTCCAACAACAACCTAGTTTTCCCACATGGTCTCCCATTCAGGTACTGACCAGGCTCAGCCCTGCTTAGCTTTCGTGAGTAACCGGTCTTGGGCTGCAGGGTGATATGGCTGGGGCAAAAATGTACTCAAGCTATTGGATCAGAAAGAGACAAAGACTATTTTTTTAAATTATTTGTATAATTCAGATTGTATTTACTTATTGTATTACTGTTATGCATAATTAAAAAAAACTCTACCTGAGCTTGCAGTGTTGATGTCTTTTGTTTACTTCTCTGCAGGCACCCGGCAGTACATTTCACTTAAACATTTGGGTCTCTTAGACCTGAGGGGGGTAACAGTGTTACACAAAATAATACATAGTCTCTCACAGTTTGTCATTACAATATACACTACCTGTCAAAAGTCTTGCCGTGGATCCCAGTTGTAAGAGCAATAAATAATAACGTGACTTCTAGTTGATCAATTGGAAATATGTCAGAAGGTCGATTTTTTTCAGATAAATCATCTGTTGAGCTGCATCCCAATCATCACAAATACTGCAGAAGACCTACTGGAACCAGCATGGACCCAAGATTCATGGCTTCCTTCTCATACTTCAGCCTCCACATCAAAGTTCCTGAAAGCAAAGAATGTCAAGGTGCTCCAGGATTGGCCAACCCAGTCACCAGATATAAACATTATTAAGCATGAAGGAGGAGGCATTGAAGATGAATCCAAAGACTCTTGATGAACTCCGGGAGTCCTGCAAGGAATGCTTTCTTTGCCATTCCAGATGACTTTATTAATAGGTTATTTAAGTCATTGCAGATATGTATGGATGCAGTCCTTCAAGCTCATGGGAGTCATACAGAATAGTCACTCTTTTTCCACTGCAGCATGACTTTATATTCTATACTGGACATTATTTCTGTTCAGTGACAAGACTTTTGTCTAAGCAAAGTCAGACCTTACTGTCCTAATGAAATAATCAAGGCAAAATCAAGGCATGATCATATTTTATTTTGGGGAAATAAGTGTAATCTAGAGGCCTTTGCCTTTCATATAAGCCACTTCTGATACCAAATGATCAACTAGAAGTCAAGTTATTATTAGTTGTTCCTGAAATTTGGATCAGCAACCAGATTTTTGTCAGGTAGTGTGAAACAGCTGTTTTAGCTATTTCTGAACAGTTCGATTGGCTACCACCACAGTCATTCCTGATCCAGCTGCCTCAGAGAGGGACAGGAGAGCATCAGCTCATTAGCATTTAAAGAGATGTGAAGCAAAAGGTTAAGGTGTGTTGACAGGGTTAAAAGGTATGATTATTGAACACTATCATATTTGTAAGAATGGGTTTTAACACAGCGGTTCGAACTGTAGTTCTGCCGAATGACTAAAAAGTTATCAGTATGATGGTAAAAATATGTACATTTAATTAAACCATTCTTCTGCAATCTTATACCAAAAATGGAAATAAGGGCAGTATTATTAGCTAAAACTGTGGGAGAGCGTTGATATTATATGATTATATTGTATTACAATATGGAGCAATTAAGTGTTGATGTTAAATTAAAAGTAATTCACAAATATTTGAAAATTTAATTATTTAATGACAATAATTCTCTATGGTTACAACTGAATTAAGTACACATAACTGTATGAGATAAAATATAAAATGATAAAAACATATGATATTAATTGTATCCAGCTTAAATGTAAAAATGAAGTTGCCAGAGGTAGAAGGAGAGATAGACGGAGGGAGAGACAAAGGCTGTTTTTCAATTCCAAGAACGCAGAGAACGGACTTGCGTTCTTGTGGAGAGCGGTCTTGCCAGGTGTCCTCAGAAGAACGAACTCAGGAGTCTGCGAGGGCAGAGAACGCGTCCTTTGAGAAATGGGATGCTGCATTCTTCCTGATGGCCACATGACCTTCACGCGTTTTAAATGGAAATTATTTAAACATTTCAGCCTTCATACAACAATTTCTTGTTTTTCCCCTTTTCAAAATATATATTTTGCATAAAAACATTATAAATCTATGTTGTACAATATGAATAAAACAGATTTTAATACAAATTTCAGCAAACAAACAACCCTTAATGTGTTTATTCCTTTATTAAGATGTTCATGGTAATGTTTACTTTCACCGTTTTATTTAGGGAAACTCCTGAGGTAAATAATTCATATCTCTAAACTTTAATAATAAATCTAGATAAAATGCAGCGCTTCCCACCTCCAGTCGCAATGACTTCTGGGACTTCCAGAGCGAGTTCGGTGCTCAAGTCTGCATCAGTGCGTCCTCTATCAAGAACACATCCGGGAAGTTTCACGCGTCCTCCATACTTGCGGTCTTGAGTATTGGAACTGAACTTGGGCAGCTGATGATGACGTTGCACAAGAACACAAGGACGCAAGACATCTGAAGAACGCATATTGAGAAACAGCCACAGAGAGCAAGTAGGCCTCAAAGAGGCCCATGAAGGCCCCAAAGAATCGTATCAACTTGTGTTGTATGGCCATCTGATGTCATTTAAAAAAAAAAATTAGAATTTAAAGAATTGTGTGCATTCATAGTAACTTGTTTGATGATTATTTTGGTTAACATCCATACATAATTTCAAACTACAGTAAAAGTTTTTTTTTCTCTTCATGTCATTGTCTGTTGTTTCAGGCTTCACTGTTCATGGTCCTTCTGCTCCTCTGTCTGCTCCTCTGGGATCTTCAGTGGTTTTGCCCTGTTCTGTTGATGAAGCTTTACCAGTGGAGGATCTGGAGGTGGAATGGACTAAAACTGACACAGAGACTCTGGTTCATCTGTTTCAAGATGGTGAGAGTCGAGCAGAGGTCCATGATAGAGCTCATTTCTTTACTGAGGAGATTCAACATGGAAACTTCTCCCTCCGCCTGGACAATCTGAGAGATGAAGATGAAGGAGAATACAGGTGTAAAGTTTACAGCCAGCTGGAGCATGCGGAAACCGTGGTTAATATAAAAGATGTTGGTGAGTGAGGGCCATTTACATTCTGGTGAAAAATGTAATTACGTTAGATGTGTTTTTATGTTTTGCAATTCATATGTTGTTTTCTTTCAGAGCGTTTGTTAGTATCAGGATCAAATCGTCCCGCTGTTGCATATGTTGGTGAGGACGTGACTCTGAACTGCTCTGTAGACTCTCACATCACACCTGAACACATTGAAGAGGTTTCATGGAGGAAAATAGATGGAGATGAAGATATTTTGATTCTGATCTACCAAAACAATGAGACTTCAGCAGATGTGGGAGATGAACATTTCAGAGGCAGAGTTGAGTTCTTCACTGCTGAAATCCCCAAAGGAAACTTCTCTCTCAGACTGAAGAGTGTCAGAACTGAAGATAAAGGAGTTTACATGTGTCAAGGGTTTGCTGGAGGAGCTTCAGCCAATGCTACTGTACAGCTGGAACAGCTGGGTGAGAAATATATACAAATATATAGTGTGAATATCAAATAATGTTACAGATTTTGTATAAAAACCTACTCCCAAATTATAGGCCTTAATCAATAATTTAAAGGTCTTGTGAAATGCTTTGCAATTTACTATTGCAAATTGTTTAATATTTAATGTAATTTCAACTGAAACACAAACATAGGATGGAACGGAGTAGCCCACCTCCTTTTAAAAAACAGCCAATCATGTTTCATTTACATCACAAATCTGCTAGTCAAAGTGATTGAGCTCAAGAACCTCATAGTCATAACAGCCACAGACTGGAATAACAATGCTGAGACTCATTGCAATCAGACTGATTCTCTGACTTCATTTGCCCTAAAGGACATAATATTTACACCATCTGTATCATTTACCTCCACATAGTACTATTAACCATATTAAAACTGTAACTGTGTGTAAAAGCTCTAGTTTTGAATATCCTGATTGTTTTATACTGACCATGAAAGCAACTTGTACAATGCATTTCCCTCTTCAGGACTTGATATAGAGAGATGCTGCGCACCCTGTTTCAAAGCCCTGGGGATTCTCCCCTGTTGTTGCAATGAATGAGTTTTGTTTTTTAAATATAAATTTTCTGTTTAATTTTAAATATATATATATATGTAAGTGCTTAATTGAGATATGGATGCTCTGTGGCTGTAATATGAATACATAACTAATTTCAACAGCAGTTTTGCCAGCTACTTTTGATAGAAAGTAGCCAAGCTCTGATTAAATAGTTGCTAAATGTTGCTCCATGATGTCATGTGTAAATTTGCATATTTCTGACGTAATCACATTCAATTGTGGCTGTATATTTAATGACGTAGTCTTAATCGATGCATTACAGTTCTTTAGACTTTGGTCCAAATGTTGCTGCTTTGAAATTAAGTGGTCTGAAAGTTGCTAAAAAAGTTTCAGTCTTTACATGGAAAGGTGAGCAGCTTATCAGACTGCAGGTGGGAGGAAATGTTGTGTGAGGACTAGGCTGCCTTCCCCCACAATCAAGGCTTCTTAGGGCAGTCAGTCATGAGCAACCCAGCTATCTATCAGCCCCTTGTAACGTTCAATTCAATCCATTACAATTGCTATTTATTTCTCTAGGGCTTATACAATGTAGATTGTGTTAAAGCAGCTTAACTTAGAAGTTTAAGTAAATTTAAACAGTGTCAGTCTAGTTTTCAGAATTGAAGTTCAGTTTAGTGTGGTTTAATTTTTCGCTGCTCCATCGATGCGCAGCTCCACAGGTCACAAACTAATCAAGTAAGTGGCGAGAGTGGTGCGGAACAAACCTCACCAATTGACTAAAGTGAAGGACAAAAACTCTAGAGAAACCAGGCTCAGACCATTTACAAGCTTCCTGTGTGGAGCTGCAGTCTAGGTATCAGAGGCTGGAGAACACTAGGCGTCAATCGTGGAGAACTGCAGGTGTGAGTAGGTCACCAGTTGGTGATCAGGCTGGCCCACAGGATCAATCCAAAGACTCGTCTGTCACTGTGGTCTTTCAAGAATCAGTCTCATGCTCGCCGCTCCTCCATGACACCACATCATTAGCTCAGGACTAGCACTGTACTAGTACTGTTTGGTGCAAAAACAAGGCATTACTTCCTAGGCACCTCCAAGAAACCTTAAATCTAGGGACAGCACTCGCTGCCAAAGCTTCCTCTGAGTTGCTTCAGTCTGAGGACCACTGTCATTTCAAAGATGACTGCATTATCAGGCATATCAGGGCAGCAACCCTTCTGCACAGTCAATTACAGTTTCTGATATCTATCTATCCCCATTACTTCAAGAACTTTTGGGTTCTGCAGTCCCCAGCACAAATATTTCTCAATTTTCGAGGGCATTGACAGCCTTGCCCCCCTACAAAGCCTGGTATTGAGAGATAGATACCCTTAGTAGACTGTCTAGATTTTTGGTCCTGACAATTAGCCCTGAATTGGAACAGTTTGGAAACCACCACCGTATTTGATACATGCACTGCCTTGAGATTATGGTGGCGTTTCTAGCATCAAACAACTTTCTCCAACACCCGTGTATTGGCCTGGACAGACAATGCATTGGTGGTCTCTTACATCAGTTACCAAGGGGGTCTGAGATTGTAACCTTGCCCAAACCTTGCAAGGTGCAAAATCTTTTTTGCCCACATGTGACTCAGATCTGTTTTTTGTTATGCCAGTGTGAACAGCCCAAATCACATGGAATCTGATCTTTTTAATTCACATTTGTGCCACTTTCATCTGTTTGAATTAAATCAGATCTGATGTTTTGCAATGTGACCTCAGTGTGAACGATTATGTAGGATTTCATGTCACATTTACATAATCTTTGAGTGACATGCGTCATCATTCTGTGCTGCAAACATTATCTACTCCTCAGCAGCGTAGTAGAATGGCACACAGGGCAATTACTTTAGCACAAAAAGAGCGACAGGGGTGTTGCGTATAGGGAGTCCATGTGCTAAGGAGGGGGCACTTTTATTTTAAGGATGAACTTTGTCTCTGAGAGAAAAAGGGCAGGTGCTCAAGCACTCAAACCCCCCTTCCCATGTGCAAGTTGCATTGCCCTGGCAATTAAGGGCTTGGCTACAGGTAATGGTTGTTGAATGCTTTGAGTCTGCTTAATAGTATATAATAGAATAGCCATGGTTTGGAAAAAAAAACATGGAAGACAAAGAAATATGCCATGTCTGCTCTATTAAGTGTTATACCTGATGTTTTTTTACCCCTCCAGGTTTCTCTTTTCTGCACATAGCTGTGTTGTTTTTCTGTTTTGCTGCTGGATCTGGAGACGTACTTCTGCTCTCTTTTTTGATCCACTGCAGATTAAAAAACACAGGTGCGTTAACACATTGTTAATTAGGTTTTTTAATCAACAGCGCTGTATGTATTACTGTAAGTGTTTTGCTCATGTATTTGTGATTATTCTGAATTTCCTTTTTAGTCTCCAGCAGCACAATCTGGAGTCTTCAACTTTCTCTGATCCTTTTCCCAAACCTCTGTATGTTCTTAGCCTTCATCCTTTGGGGCTTTACTGAAGGTGAGTGCAGGAGTTTAATACTCTTAGTTATGTTTGGGTAAAAAAAGCAATATAAAAAAAAAGTGTCTGTTTTGTCAGTCTAAAACATTTTTGACTGTTTGTGTTTTGAACATTAAACATTCTGTTTCAGGATCTTTATATGAGACCATCACCTGCTCTTCACTTTATATTCTGAGACCTTTTATGCTGATCTGGGTTTTGCCCTATTTGAAGTATCTTCAAGGTATGTTGGGATTTAAGTTATATTATTTATATATAGTTATTAATTATATTAATTTAAAATACATTAGGACAAAAATAATATGGAAAAGGTGAAAAGTACAAAAAGTATAGTGAATATGTACTGTAATGGTTATGGCATAAATCCGTAAAATATATATTGAGTATAGGTTGATGGGTTTGAATTGCACATCGTTTTATTTAATAAATCCTCTTATAAAGTATTTGTGGGATTAATCTAGCATCTTGGCATGCTTGGATATTTTTATTTTGGGATTGAAATTGTGAGATGATCTCTGTCAAAAGAAAACAGCATTATTTAGTTGGCCTTGACAAAACTTGTTATGATCAAAATAAGGGTCTGAGAGGATCCAATTGCAAGTGACAATGATTACTTGACGTCGTCAAAATAAACCAACAATAATAGTGACAGGCTAGGACAGGGATGGGCAAACTTGATCTACGAGGGCCGGTGTCCCTGCAGAGTTTTGTTCCAACACTAGTCAAACACACCTGAAATAACTAATCAGTGTCTTCAAGATCACTTGAACTCTATAGGGAGGTCTGTTTGAATAGGGTTGGAGCTAAACTGTGCAGGACACCGGCCCTCCAGAACCGAGATTGCCCACCCCTGGGCTAGGAGGATGAAGAACACAGGGCAGGAACAGACAGGATAACAGGGTCCAGGTAATTCTCCTCAGGGGCTTGAGCACAGACAACACACACATGAGCAAGTGTAACAAACTGACAAAGAAACATAGAAACGTTGCCCATATATAGGCCCTATAATGAGCCTCAGCTGGCGAGCTAATCAGCCCAGCTCAGTGTCGTCATAGCACGTGAGCATAACTAATACACATGGACAACCAAAACAAAACAAACCCACGTGATCAAACATACACTCCGGAGAAGCGCACAAACCTGCAACCGTGACAAAAACTAATGTAAAAATGTAGTAAAATAACAGATTATTTGTGTCTACAGATAAACTTAAACGATGGATCGAGTTTTTCACAGCAACAAGAGAATTATGCTTTTTCACACTGATTGTTTATTCAGGTAGGTAAATCCACATTTCACACAACAGATGCACTGAAGTGCTTTACAAAATATTTATAGTTTCCTATAGTATTTTATCGTATGTGTACTGTTGCCTTGTCTTTTCTAAAATATGTAGATACTATATCCTGCTATTGGTACAGTCAGAGAACACCATTTAGTTTACCTCATTTTTAAGTGTGTATTGAACTTACTAAGGACATCAGTTTTGTGTGCCTTTTAATTGTTGTATTTCTGTAGTTTTTTTCATGCATGGTTGGAGAATAAGAGAACATCACACAGACCTCAAACCTTTAACAATGTCTGGAATGTTCTATGGACTTCTTGTACTGATATCTGTCGTATTGAGTACAGGTAAGAAGATTTAATTGATTTGATTCTTCATGCATGGTTAATCATGAAGGTAATATTGTAAATTTCTCTCTCTCATTAGTTTTTGGATGCAAGTTTTTGGATTCTCATTTCTTGATTTCCATGATGTCTGCTTTCCAACTTCCCCAGCTGTTCTTCTTATTTGGATATACCTCTCTAGGTGACACTTTATACTAAAATAATGCAAATATGTTAAACTGATATGAAGCGAGTTTGTAAATAATAGATGGCATAATAAAGTGTTAGCAGATAATAATAATAATAATAATAATAATAATAATAATAATAATAATAATAATAATAAAAATAATAATATAGTCTCTATTACGCTAATAAATGATAGTGTATTAGTGTTTTTGCAAAGTTACTTACAGAAAGCAGAATGTATAATGAAATACTACCACTAATTTTAGTGTTTTTTGGTGCACCTTATAACGAGAGTACATGAATAATGATGTGTTAATATGTAAACTTAACATTGATGATGACTTAAGGCATGCGCTAATCATGAACTAACTTTAACTGCAAAATGAGTCAAAAGAGTTTATATAAAGGCTACCTTAATTACTTGTTTGTATATGTTGTTAATGTATAAATTAACATTTAAGTTGAAGCTAAATGTAAGCAACATAAAGTCATGAACTGTATAATTGTCATGACTTTACTTAAAGTGGCACATCACTATTAACTCATCCTTAACTACTCATGAACTCCTGTGTTTAAACTGTTCATGTTCATGTTGATGTTGACAGAACACTTTCCTATTGTCATTCTGTGTAAACAAACACACTAGACATGTGCATACAGAGTTCACGAGGTAAGAATGGGTAAGAATGTGTTAATGATGATGTGCCCCTCCAAGTAAAGTCATGATATAATTATACATTAACAGCTCATCATGAGTTCATGATGGCTAAATTAAGCATAAACTAATGTGGTAAATAATACATTATTTAACACACAATGATGTACAAACAAGTTTTTAAGATAGCCGTAATTCACAAATTCATGGGACTCATGTTGTACATGGTGGGCCATTTATATGGATACACCTTAATAAACTCAATGGGAATTTCACAAGAAAAATACGATGGTGTGCTTGGTTTTAACGTAACTTTATTCTTGAGTTATTTACAAGCCCCCTTACATATACTAATGTGCCACAAACAAGACGTAAATATCACCAACCATTCCCAATTAATTAAAGTGTATCCACAGAAATGGCCCACCCTGGAGTTGAAGTTTGTTCATGATAAGTGCATTCATAAACTCATTATTAATTCACAATTAATGAATGTTTAGCTTACATTTTAACACTTACTTATTCATGTACTGTTATTGTAAAGTGTTACCACGTTTTTATTAATTGATTAAGAACTCACGAGTAATCATTATATGTGCTTTAATATTGTTATTGGCTTGTTTAGTTTGAGTGGGAAAATAACAGGATTATATTCTTTTATTTTAGGAACTGGTATTTTTGTTGTTTTGGCTGTTATTCATACATTCTGGCCATTTGTTCTTCGTCTGCCTGCAGTCTTCGACCGTAAGTTCACTTTAAATAAACACTTAATGTATTTTGGTAGGTGTTGAAATGGTGCATTTAATATTCTTACGTGCATCTTTTTTGGGGAAATATAATGCTTACATCTAAACACGGTTAATATAAATATGAATTTTTTCATTCAATTTTCTTCGGCTTAGTCCCTTATTGATCAGGGGTCGGTACAGTGGAATGAACCGCCAACTATTCCAGCATATGTTTTACGCAATGGATGTCCTTCCAGCTGCAATCCAGTACTGGGAAACACCCATACACCCATTCACATACACACTAAGGCCAATCTAGTTCATCCAATTCATCTATACCACATGTCTTTGGACTGTGTGGGAAAACGGAGACCGTTCCAACACGGGGAGAACATACAAATACCACACAGAAATGCCAACTGGCCCAGCTAAGGCTCGAACCATCAACCTTCTTGCTGTGAGGCAACAGTGCTAACCACTGAGCCACCATGTCACCCCCTAATATAAATATATGACTATATAATGTTTACATGCAAGTCGGTTTAAAATAGAAGTTGTCCATTTTACTGAAGTGCTGTAATTACATTCTGAAGTAAAATTAGATTGAAAAATGGTAAGAATTATATGATTCCGTTGTGAAAAGTGAGTGTCAGAGTCACTTTTAAATGAATTATTTTAAAGTCTTTGAGACTCAGAGCTTTTTCAGCCAGTAAACCTACTGTATCCACCATGTTGAGAATGGCTGTGTTCAAAATGGCATACTGCCTACTGCCCAGTATACAGTACATAGGGGCTACCACATTTTTAAGAATAGTATATAAGGCAGTTTACACTACGCTAATTTTTTTTCAAAGGGTAGTTTGACACAGCATTGTCACATGAATTCCCCAGCACTGAATGTTACAGCATAGCTACTAAAGTTGTTACCTTACAAATATAATAATTATGCATTTATAATAATGCACGGTGGCTCAGTGGTTAGCATTGTTGCCTCAAGCTAATTCGAGTCCTGGCTGGGTCAGTTGGCATTTCTGTGTGGAGTTTGCATGTTCTCCCTGTATTGGCATGGGTTTCCTCAAGGTGCTCCGGTTTCCCCCACAAGTCAAAAGACATGCGGTTCAGGTGAATTGAGTAAGCTAAATTGGCTGTATGAGTATGTGAATGTGTGAGTGTCTGGGTGTTTCCCAGTACTGGGTTAAAGCTGGAAAGGCATCTGCTGCGTAAAACATATTCTGGAACAGTTGGTGGTTCAATGGGGCGGCCCCTGGTAATCAGGGACTGAGTCGAAGGAAAATAAATGAGTAAATGAATAATGCACTATAACTGTTTGTCATAATGAAAAAAATAATACATTATATGTACATTGATGCATTACAACTGCTATTAAAGCACTTTGTGAGATAAATGTTGGTGTGGTAACATCTGAATAAATTGATTTAAGTAAAAAAAAAAATAATAATAATAATATATACAGTATATATATATATATATATATATATATATATATATATATATATATATATATATATATATATATATATATATATAATATATAATTTACTATAGTTGAATTTGATTTACATAGTAAACTACATTAGGTAAGTTGCTATACCAAGTGAATTAAGCTAAACTTATTTTATTTATATTATGTTTTTTATTTTATTTTACAAAACATTATGTATTTAAATGTTCATTTCCATGTAGTTATTTTTTAATCAAAACAACTTCTACATATTTAAATATATACATATGCTAAAATGTGACTGGAGTAATTATTCACACCTTTAAAATAAAATTTTTTCAATTACCAGTGCAAAAAAAAAAAAAGCACAAGTCAAGTTTAAGTTATTGGATTTCACCCATACAGGAAATGTGCATATTATTCATAGTACACATATTGCATACTGCAAATATAGTATGAGCTGTGAGGTAGTACGTTATTGTAATGCAGCTTGTGTACTGATTTAAGATTTATTAGCAGATTCTCTATATAGTTGGTCGTATATGTGCACACTATGCATAAGATACATAATGGATACTGCAGAAATAGAAAGAGCAGTATGATAGTATGGCATTTTGAACACATTTCTAATACTGGACAACAGGAGTTTTAGGTACTGTATTAAGGATTTATTCCTGATTTTTTACCTCTTGAGAATATGTGGTAATGTTGGTAAGATTTGAGGATCTTGTTTACACAAATCAGAGCCTCTCTGATCATATAACACATGTACACGGGTGATTCATTGATCAGCTTGCCATTGGGTGTGTTACGATTGACCGGGCGGATGGAGTCAAAAAGTGTCACAGAAGCCGCTGGTGAAAGTGAAGAGCGATTTATTTTACACAAAGTGAAGACATATATAGTATAATTATAGTCTTGCATTTCTATTGGAAATTATAGTGCAAACAAACTTTGTGACCAACTGGAAAAGCGTTATGACTAAAAAATGCTTTTCTGACGATAATTATTTGGCCCATTTTTAAATCAAAAAGCATTTTCTAGACGAGCATAAATATAGTCTTGTTTTAAGAAATAATATGCCAAAATCAAGTGTTTTTTCCCCCTAAAGCAAGCACAATAATCTGTTAATGGGGTAAGCAAATTAATCTTTTAGTTTATTCTTTTAATGTCAAAAGCAAAAATTAAATAAAAATTATAAGCTTTTTGAACAGCTTTAAAAAAAAGGTTGTGAAATCATAAAAGGAGAAAATTTTGATTATTAAAAGAAATAGTTCACCCAATACCGAAAATTATTCTACAATTTATTAATCCTTTATATATTCTAAACCTTTAGCCATTGACTTTTACAGTATTGTTTTTTTCTACTAGAAAAAGTCAAGGGTTACAGGTTTTCAGCTGTCTTCAAAATATATATAGTTCAACAACAACAGCAACAACCCATAAAGGTTTATAACAGCTTGATTAAATTGTGAGTAAACTTCAATTTCTGGATGAACTAAACTTAAATGCACAAATAAATAAATGAACTCAAGGGCAAAATAATTGCAATAATATCAAAAACATATTTTAATTTTTGTATCAGATCTGAGATCAGTTTTAGTTTGTGAAATGTAATGAAAGCTCATGGTCATCTTTTTATTGACAGGTTTCTGCAGAACATGGATAGTAGCACTGTGGATTATAGCAATATCAGTTCTAGAAATTATCTTAGCGATTTATATTCATATACTCATGTTGGAAAGGGAGAAAGGTATGTATAAAAAACATCAAATACATTTAAAAAAGATTATTTATTTGTTTATTTGGATTTGGGAAGCTCATCTTTTTGTTGGAACATTCAAGTCAGGATTGTATGACCTGTTACAATGATTAATGTATAGTGGATTTTGTAGTGATGAGTGACAGCCCATATACAGTTCAAGTCAGAATTATTAGCCCCCCATTTGAATTTTTTTCTCTTTTTTAAATATTTCCTAAATGATGTTTAACAGAGCAAGGAAATTTTCACAGTATGTCTAATGATATTTTTTGTTCTGGAGAAAGTCTTATTTGTTTTATTTTAACTAGAATAAAAGCAGTTTTTAAATTAAAAAAAAAAACATTTTTTTTAGGACAAAATTATTAGCGCCTTTAAGCAATTGTTTTTCCGGCAGTCTACAGAACAAACCATCATTATACAATAACTTGCCTAATTACCCTAACCTGCCTAGTTACCCTAATTTACCTAGTTCAGCCTTTAAATGTCACTTTAAGCTGTATAGAAGTGTGTTGAAAAATATCTAGTCAAATATGATTTACTGTCATAATGGCAAAGATAAAATGAATCAGTTATTGGAAATGAGGTATTAAAACTATTATGATTAGAAATGTGTTGAAAAAAAAATCTGCTTTCCGATGAACAGAAATCGGAGGAAAAAATAAACAGGGTGGTTAATAATTCAGGGGGGCTAATAATTCTGACTTCAACTGTACATAGCTTATTTAGTCATCTGTTTTATTAGGCATGTTGTGCTGATGAGCAGTGCTGTTTTTAATTGTCAGAGCGCATGGGCTGGATCTGTGTCATTTCATTTATTGAAGTTCTGAAGATTATCACGATCCTTGTGGAAGGTATTGTCCATCACTGACTTACAATGCTTCATCACTTAGAAAAACACAATACATGTACACTACTAAAACTTTACCACACAAATGTTGTCAGTTTGGAGAGTATATTTTGATAACACTATTATTGACTTCATTTTGCACATTGTGTTGTCTTTTAGAAATACAAATGTGGACATTTAAGAATCATTAAATAATGAAATATAAAATAGCATCAATTTACAATCATATCTGTAATTATGGCATGATATAAATAATTCTGTTCACGAGAATTAAAAAAATAATTTCTCAGGTTTTTTTTTGTATAATCCATATTACAAAATTGATTCACTACCATACATCATTTAGTTACTTTCAAACACTGAGGGCCTGTTTACACCTGGTCCCTTCATGCATGCTTTTCTGATACAGTACAGTATTTCATTTGTAAAACCAATTGCATTTACATTTTATCCACCTGAATGCATCTCCGATAAACAGATATGGTTGCATTCTACAATAGTGTCACACATGCAACTACAATTGTAACACATCTTATTTGGGATACAAATGATTTTATATGCAGGCTTTACTTGTGTTCCATTAAAACATCGTTTTCATTAACTTATGGCTTTTGCTCTGTTATATCTGATGGTCATTTAGCTCACAACACAGCCTCTCACTGCTTGGTTTTTATTATATTCAGGAGGAGTACAATTAGAAGGGTTTTCCTTTAGACCTCTGCAACCAGATGCATTTTAAAACCCAATACCAATTCTCTTTTTTGTTCCCCAATCCCTTCCCCTTGGCCTGTAGAACATAGTGTGAATAGGAAGAGCTTCAAATTTACCCCATTAGAAATGGGACTCCTCTAAAACACCACACACATCATCAAATGTCATCACAAACTCTTGCTTCATGAGATTGATGACAGTTGTTATGTGTCCATCCACCTATTTTTATGTGCATTTTGGAGATTGGCATAACAAAAAAATCAGTTGATGGAAACGCAAAGATGCACATACATTTTAAAAATGCGCATAAAAAATCTATGTGCATAACTGAGTAGGGTAAACTTTTTATTTGATAAGAAAAGATGCGCATAAACTAAGATGGAAACACTTTTGCTGACCATATTTCACTATAAGTAATAAAAATGTCATGTGATTTTGTTATGTTACATTCCTACAAAAATCTAGGAGTAAAACACAACTAGGAATGAACAAATGAAGAAGGAGGAGAGAGTACCACTTCCAGACTCAGAATCATCAGTCAACACCTTCTTAATTTTCTAATCACCATCAGGCAACCATTGATTTCTCTTGTTATCACAAGAAAATAATGTATGTTAAATTTTAAAGAACATAATACGAAACAAAAAATATACCTCAGGATATGGGGATCCAAAATAGCAAACAAACAATAAATAACTAATTTAAAGACAAACTAACTTCCCTAACAAAATAAACATTCCCAAAAGAAAGAAAAATACAACTCACTTCCCTTTCTCCCTGCCTATCCACCAAAACAGGAGAAAAAGGTTTTAAAATAAACACACACTCCACACTTTACTCATACCCTCAAATTAATTTATATTCATTCATTCATTCATTTTCTTGTTGGCTTAGTCCCTTTATTAATCCGGGTTCGCCACAGCAGAATGAACCGCCAACTTATCCAGCAAGTTTTTACGCAGCGGATGCCCTTCCAGCCACAACCCATCTCTGGGAAACATCCACACACACACTCGCACACTACGGACAATTTAGCTTACCCAATTCACCTGTACTGCATGTCTTTGGACTGTGGGGGAAACCGGAGCACCCAGAGGAAACCCACGCGAAGGCAGGGAGAAAATATTATATATATATATATATATATTCAGCCCGAAATATACAATACAAGTGATTTTACAAGAGAGAATTCTTAAAGTTTGGCTTAAAAAAAATAAAAAATGCAGCCACTGATTTTATTTTATTTTACTGACAATAATGTATGTATTGTACTGTATTGTAAGTGTATAATGTATTATTTCATACTTTGTTACAACTTCCTTCCCAGGGGCTACAGATGTAAATTAGCTTTATAGCTAACTCTGGTGCAACATGTCTCTGTATAAATAAATAAAATAAATACAAATAAATAAAGTCCTTATTTAACTTAAATATGTTTACTTAAAAGTTTTACAGCTGCGCACATTCTTCCATAAAGTTTGTTTTTATATAGATCACAAATTTGACATTGGGAAGTGAGAGAACGCACCCAAGATACTGGCTGTTTATTAGTAAATAATAAGTGCATAATCTGCATGATTACATGATTATTTTACATACCTAACCCAATACACAAACCCAAATACTTTCTCAGGAACTATTTATAAGTAGCAAATTAAGAGTTTATTTAGCTAAAAGTCATAGCTGATGCTTTGTTTGAATTGTACCCTAACATAAAGTGTGACCGTTGTTTTTTTAGAAGATTTTAAGAAAGCATGCTATTGGGCATCTGAGAGTTGTCGTCTTCCCTTCTGAATGTGTTTTTGTCCACTTTACCCCTGTTTTGTGCATATGCCATGTTTATAAATGAGACCCATGGTGTAAACAGCCCCCAATTTTTACAATTCCATCAAGGACATGATTAGTTTAGTCATGTATGTTTAGCTATAGGGTCAAAGGTCAACTGTGCAGAACTGAGAATTGAACTCCGGAGTTTGACACCACTGGTCTATAGCTATCCTTATTTATTTATTTATTTATTTATTTATTTATTTTATTTATTTATTTATTTTTTTATTTATGTTTCAAATAGACACAAGTTATCTGTCCTTTTCTCAAACTAGAATAGAAAATAAAATAAAGTAAAGTCATATTTTCGGCTTATCCATTTGAGTTTTGTTTTTAACAGCAAAAGAGCATCCAGGAGACCAGAGACAACAGCGACATCAAGGATCAGACACATGTAATTACTTACTGGTCAATATGTAATATTGGAAAGAAAGGAGATCTGTTTCATTATTGCAACTATTTAACAGGTTATTTTTTGTGTGTCTTTTACAGTTTTCCTCTGTAATGAGATCATGTACATGTTTGGAGCAGTTGGTGTTGTTTTGTTGAGCTCTGTTTCACTGACAGCAGAACTCATCCTGAAAGCACGTGAGTGAATATCATATTTAAAATGATTATATGATTGTGTATGTGTGTATATTTGTATGCAATTAATAGATATAGTACTGACCATTTGATGTAATTATGCAAAAATCATGTTGAAAATGAACAGAACACAGATTGATGACGTTATACACGCTCAGAAATAAAGGCGCGCGAGCTTTCACTGGCGTGGTACCTTTTCAAAAGGTACACATTTGTAATTAAAGGGTCCATATTGGTACCTCAAAAGTATATATTACTACTTAAAAGTTTTGAGAGGAACACTTTTGTACTTTTTAGGTACTAATATGTACCCTTGAGGTAATAATATGGACCTTTTAGGTACAAATTTGTACCAGTAACAACTTGCGTACCTTTATTTCTGAGAGTGTACATACTGCAAATTGTTTTACCTATTTGTTTTGAAATATCCAGTATGCATGTTTCTCAGTATAGTCTAGAAGAGATACATATGTGGCCAGAAGTTAACAAAAATTACTTATATTATTACAACAATACAACAATTACCGTACAACAATGATTACTGTTTTTTTATATTTCTTTGAGGGTTTGATGTGGTAGTAAACGTTTAAAAACCCTTCTATACAACTTAAAGTGACATTTAAAGACTTTACTATGTTAATTAGGTTAACTGGGCAGATTAGGGTAATTAGACGTATAACAGTGGTTTGTTCTGTAGACTATTGTAAAAAATAAGCATAATAATTTTGACCTTAAAATGTTTTTAAAAAAAATTTTAAACTGCGTATGTTGTAGCCGAAATTAAACAAAAAGACTTTCTTCAGAAGAAAAAAACATTGTCAGACATACTGTTATATTTCCTTGCTGGGTTAAACATTATTTGGGAAATCTTTAAAAATGAAAAAAAAAAAAAAAATAATAATAATGCATATTTAATAGGAGCTATTAATAAGTGTTGGACAACTCCTTTACTACAATACCTAATAAAAATAAATATGACTGGAAAGGCAAAGTAATTTTATGAATAATTTCCATATTAAAACAAGAATTAGCATTTAGAAGTATTTGTTTAAAGAAACTCATAAACATTAATTATTCTATAAGTTCTATAATACAAAACAACTGGTAAAACATAAAACTATAGCTAT